CATAGAAATCCCCAAACGGAGCAATAACACAAATTGATCATATATTGGTTCAGAAAAGGCATGCAACGTCAACTATTGATGTCAGAGCAGCGAGGGGACCAAACTGTGACTCTGATCATTATATGCTTAAATTGAAGCTCAGACAGCGTCTTACAGTGATAAGAACTGATCAACGGCACTGTAGGAAAAGGTGGGAGATTGATAAGCTGAAAGACCCTGAGGTTGCTGAGAGATTTAAAACATCACTAAATAGGAATCTGATAGACAGTCAGGACGATGAGGGGAAAGAATGTGTAGACAAAAAATGGAAGAGAATTAGAGGAGCTATTGAAAGGTGAGCAGAGGAGGAGATAGGTGAGAGGAGTAGGCAAAGGAGTGAGGAGTGGTTTGATGCTGAATGTCTTGAGGTCCTGCGTGAAAGAAATCAATGTAGGACGGTGATGTTACAGCACTCTACAAGACAAACTTTTACAGCATATAGAGAAAGGCAGAAAAAAGCAAAGAAGGTTATTCGAAATAAGAAACGTGATTTTATGAAAAGGAAAATAGAGCATATTGAGGAATTGAGGACTAGGATATGAGACTAGGAAATTTTATGGAGCAGTAAAATTTATGAGTCAGGGTTTTCAGTCAAAAATGACTGGTTGCAAACATAAAAATGGCGTGGTAGTAGAGAGCTCCCGAGTTCTAGGTAGATGGGAAGAGCACTACACAGAATTGCTCAACTCTAGTGGTAATGAATGTATGGTTGGCAGTGATGAAGAAGGGTGTGTTGATGACCTGGAGCCATTGTCTATAGAAGAGGTGGCTGAGGTGATTGAAAAATTAAAAAATAACAAAGCACCTGTGGAGAATATGCTGGTTGCGGAATTCTTTAAGTACAGAGGAGAAGAATTGATAAGCCAAATGGATTTACTGTTGGAGGAAGTTTGGAGAGGTGAAATCATGGCTCAGGAGTGGTGCACCAGTCTGATATGCCAGATATATAAAAAAGGAGATAAACTCCAATGCGAGAATTACAGGGGCATTTCTCTATTGGCTGTAGCCTATAAAAATGTTTCAAACATCCTCTCTGTGAGGCTCAATGTATTTGCTAAGAATATACTGGAAGAAAACCAGTGTGGATTTCGGAAGGGGAGAGGAACGACTGATCAGGTCTTTGTGATGAGACAGATAATGCAAAAAGCCTGGGAATATGAGATTGGCCTGTATATGCGGTTCATAGATTACCGGCAAGCTTTCGATAGAGTAATAAGAAGTAAATTAATAAATGCCTTACATGAGTCCCAAATTCCACAAAAATTAATAAGGTTATTGCAAATGACTATGAATAATAGCAATGCAAAAGTAGTTATTAAAGGCAATGTAAGCAATAGCTTTCCAATGACGGATGGAGTTAGGCAAGGGGATGCTTTATCTGCCACATTATTTAATATTGCACTTAATAATGTGTTGAAAAAACTGGATTCACCTGGTTGCATACTTAACGCAATAGTGCAAATATGTGCTTATGCAGACGATATATGCCTAATTGCCAGGAATTTGAGATTAATAAAAGAAATCTTTGCAATATTGAAAGCCATAGGTGAAAATGTTGGGCTGGAAATCAATCAAGATAAGACAAAATACATGTATGTCGGAGCCGACAATGAAGCTGGTCCACAGAGCATTGAAATATGTGGTCTCACCTTCGAGTGTGTCAAAAAATTCACATACCTGGGGGTGGAAGTGAATTATGAAAAAAAATTGCTGCTGAAATGTACAAGAGGATCATGGCTGGAAACCGGGCGTACTATGCCAACCTAAAATTTTTCCTATCATCACTTCTCTCATGAGAAACAAAGATAAGACTATATAAGATTTTAGTAAGACCTATTGTGACTTATGTAACGGAGACATGGACCTCTTTGTATTAGCACAATTAGTATGCTGAATATTTTTGAAAGAAAAATATTGAGAAAAATTTATGGAGCTGTTTGTGAAGAGGGTGTGTGGAGGTATAGAAAAAATGCGGAGCTATATGAATCATATAACAGCCCCAATATAGTTAATTTCGTTAAAATTAGGCGTATAGAATGGTTAGGCCACATGGTTAGAATAGACCACAGCAGGATGCCTTATAGGGCATTGTTCTCTACAATGTATACAAAAAGAAAGGGAAGACCAAGGAAAAGATGGCTACAAGATGTCGAGAGCAACCTTAGAACACTGGGCGTGAGGAATTGGAAGGAAAGAGCGATCAATAGAGATGATTGGCATGCTATGATTCAGGAAGCCAAGACCCACCCTGGGCTGTAGAGCTACATAGTAAGTAAGTAAGTAACATTTTTTGAATCCCTTCTTCCAAATGCGTCTAGCTCAACTTACTCTTCCAAGCTTGATTTGCATTATCATGTCAATATCCCCACAAAGATCATAGATCTCTGTTCTTACTTATTCCTCAAGTCTTTCCAACCTTAATTGATCCAAATATGCAATGAAATGTAACCGAACAATATATATTATATATATATATATATATATATATATATATATATATATATATATATATATATATATATACCCTGCAACAAGTTTATGGACTGGACCAAGAATTACTTCTGAAAATACTGATGTTAGTAAGGACGGCGAGAATGTTGGATGTGCATGGTTGTTCAGAGCTCAAGATGGTAGGAATATAGAACATCAATATAAATTAGAATCATATTGCTCAAATAATGAGGCAGAAAAATTTGCTGTTTTAAAGGTGACTGAATACATATATGAATACCCTCTACAAACGAACACTCACGTTACTATCAATACAGACAACAAATTTCTACTAGACTCTATTAATAATTGGGACATTCATGATTACTTGACTGACCAAATTAGAAACAAATTGTTAATAATGAGAACTGTAGGGAAAGTAGTGACTCTAAAATGGGTAAAAGCACATTGTGGGATTGAGGGCAATGAACGAGCCGATTGCCTTGCAAAAGAAGCAGCTAAAAGCGATTTGCCGCCATCGTATCATCAAGCTCCTTTATCGTATATTAAGATGAATTTAAAGTTGGATTTCATCAAAAGATGGGATCACATATGGGTGACCTCAGCTAAGTCACCAAGCTTACACAGATTTATACCACACATTTCAATTCACAATTACAGACACATTCACAGTAATGACTACAAACTTACGCAAGTACTTACTGAACATGGGAATACAAAACAATATCTTAAAAGATTCAACATTATACAAACAGACTTATGCGATGAAGACGGACAGGTTAAAAATTTTAAACATATAATATATGAATGTAAACGATTTGACAGACAGCGATTTGAGTTAATAAAAAGCATAATTATCAAAAGAGGAAATTGGCCTGAGACGGAACAAAAGTTATTTACTGAATTCAAGACAGACTTTCTTAGATTTATTAGATCGATCGACTTCGACTTACTAACCAGGGATGGGCAGCGTGGGTGATTTCTTTTTGGCTTTGTTGGATTGACTTTGTGTGTTTAATATTTAATTTTCCGATTTAATTTTTGTGTGTTTATTCTTTGTATTTTTGTTTGTTAATGTATATAAATTTGAACTAAAAATGTTTATCATGTGAAACTAGAAAAAAAAAAAAAATGTAATTCATGTAGTATGTCTTTAAGGCATGGAGCATGAAGGAAAATCAAATAAACGATCCTTGTGTGGGGTTACCACGTAGGGAATATAAAAAAAAAAAAAAAAAAAAAAATATATATATATATATATATACATATATGAAATATCATCATTGTTGCACAAACAATAACTGTATATAAAGAAAAAACATACTATTTCTATTTCTACAATATATATTAGTTATTTGACCTTACAAGACTTGATTGCTCCATTGAGGCAAATACATGCTGTGAACCTTTAACAATATATTATTTCACATAGGCCATTGATTCATATAGTTCAAGCATGTCTTCATGCAAATGTTTCAGCATTTCTACCCACTATATATAATATTCTCATGCTTGAAACCAGGCTAAAAGACATGTTTTTTCTTACCAAACCAGCAGCATTTTACTTAGTTGTGTGATTTTTCAAAAGAGATTATTTTCAATGAGATATACTGAAATTATTAAAAATAATTAATTAAAAATAAATAAATAAATCTATTCCAGAAAGTTACTTAAAGATTTGAGGGTAAAAAAAAAGGATAATAAATTGGAGACCTAGGAATTTGAATTTAGACTATCTTTAACATATTAACCTTTACATTTTTTAAAGTTCTTCCATAGCATATTATATACAGTGAATTAAATGATAAAATTATATAATGATAACCGAGAAAACTGAATATATTTGTTCACTTAAAGAGTGGTTTGAAAATATTAGAAAATGATAAAATGACTAACTTCATAATATGACTGTTTTTATATTTTAAATATAAATCCTACAACAATTTAACACCATTTGAATGATTTTACCTAGGGTCTAAATTTTACTGAACTGTTTTAATATTTATGGTATACTAAGAGAAATATCAAGTCTTCAAAGAAGGAACGTTTTCAGAATCTGATGAATTTATAGACCACATTGACTTGTTCGAACTAAAAAATTAAACAATTTCTTATAATTGGTTTATTGTAAACATGTACTGATTAATTGTTATTTATTCAGCTACAAATTTATATAATACAGCTTTAAATAAATCTAAATATTTATAAATAATTCCTATTGTAAATATTCTCCCTAGTTAGCTATTCAATTCTTAATTAATCCATGATTCATTTCCATTTATTCTTTTTTATTTCCTATTTTATTTTTTTATTATTATTTTGTTTACTATCTATTGTTTATTCATTAACTATTATGTACATTTTTTTTCTTCTTTCTTAACTTAAACTTTAAAAATGTGTATGTATTATGTTCCTTAAATGCTGCTATATACTTAAATGTGTGTTATGTCATAAAACGGTGCCATAAAAAATAGTAAACTAAAATTATTAAAAGAACTTCTATGAATATGTTGTATATATAAGTTGTACAACTTCTATGTATCTAATGTTGAAATTAGAGGTAGCCATTCAGTCAACTAAGGAGCACGTATAAAAATATCACAGGAAAATACGCCATAATTCATTTGAACAGGAAATAATGTAAGAACATTAAGAGTAAACAAAAATAAAATAATATTTATTTGTATTAGTTATGTTATATAATATATATCACATTAAATATATTTCTCTTATAATAAAAGCTAAGTGTATTTTCTCGAAAAAGCCTATTATGAGCATTCTTTCTCCTCATCCTGAATGTAATAATTCTCACAGCACTGATTGAAAGAACAAACAGGATATGAATATCTGCCAGTCTGGAATTTACAAGTAAGCCAAATCAATAAACAAAAAAGGTATAATACTTTATTTTAGCTAAGATTACAATTCAGAAAGGGAAAATAGAACTTCTAATTTTCAGAGAATTAAAGTTAACTCGGCAAAGGTAGTTATAGTCGAAACGTCGTTGTTTTTGAACAACTCCCTCCTCTCCGCAGTGCTATCTCCATCTATTTCACAAGTGAGCTTTGATGGTGGAAAGCTCTAACAGGTAAGTCTGATAGTTTTTATTATTTAGTAGAAAGAAAAGAACATCGCCTAAATGACGAAGTGATACCTTTTCGCATCAATTCTTCTTTATTGTAGCAACAAACTCTATCATTTAAAGTAATTCATTTACAGACAAACATTAGCTTTTTTGTTATTTATTGTTCCGTTCTATATATAATTCTGCAATTAACGTTGTTGCACATAAATAAGTAGCAAACTTTAATTATGAACAGCAGACAGTTATTGATTGTTGAAGATAATCTAGAGGAAATTCACAAAATTTTAATAGAGGTAGGTGAAAAAGATATTATAGAGATTGACGATGACTACCAGTGCAAATTTGATGATTCAGATGATGACTCGGACTTTGTTCTGGATGAAAACGAAGTAGTCAAAGAAAAAAGTTTAGAAAATATAATAGAGGCAGTGAAAGATAGAGAAATGGTAGAGTTCGCTGGGCACATTGGCTGAGGAGCTGAAAGATCTAAGAGCTCAGTACCAAGAGGTGGTTCTACAATGGATTCCAGTGCTCTGTGAGGTTGCGGAGAATGAAATCGCAGACCGATTGGTCAAGGAAGGAATACTGTTCCCCCAAATTAGCAGCCTAACTAGGTTGGAGGAATGCAAAACTATTAACAAAGTAGCCATAAGCCAAAAGTAGAAAGCAAGTCACCCAAATCACAATCCCCATGACAATTATTTCAAGCAAACCAGAAGAGAACAGGTCGTCATTTTCCGCCTCAGAACTGGACATAACTATTTCAAATCACGCCTCTTCGGGAAGTTCAAGATAGGAGCCAGTCCCCTTTGTGAATGTGGCCAAATTTAACAAACGGCAGAGCACATTCTGCAGAACTGCCAGCTGGTGGAGGGCACGCGGAGGCAGATATGGCCCCAACCCAGAGGCCTTGGGACCAAGCTTTTCGGAAGTTTGGAGGACCTAAGGAGGACTACTAATTTTATTTTTTTACTTCCCAACATAGCCATCTAGAGAGAAGAACGAAGAAGAAGTGAAAGATACTAAAAAACATAGAAAGTCATCGAACAAAGAAAACTCTTTCAAAACAGTTACAAAAATCTATCATAAATAGGTATCTCCCCTTCCCCTTGAATGGTCTAACCAGAACGGCATCATAAAAGGGAAAACTGATCTTGAGCGATACAAGATCCTCTCCGAAAATGCAGGAAAAGTTCAATATTGCAGGAAAAGTTCAAAATACAACTCAGTGCCAATATTGTTCACGTGAGCAAAAAATGTAGAAGCATGTTTGAACCAATTGATTATTTCTAACAATAAATTATATTATATGAAATAAATAATTCGTTTATTAACATTAAAGAATATTTTGTTTATCCCATACTTCCACATAAAAAGTTCATTTCTGAATGCATTTTGGCAAACTGACCTCTTTTCTTTCATTAATTATGATGTTACTGTTATTGTTGTCATTGTTTTGATTAGTTTAGCTAAATATATCCTAAAATGGTTAATAAATAGTTCTATAAGAATTATACAAAAAAGAACCAACAAATCTCTATGAAGAGACTGCTTCATCCATTTGACAAAGCGATACCTTCAACTTAGGTTATAATAGCGATACCTTTGCCAGGTTAATGTTATTGAATGGTCCTTTTGATAAAAATCAACAGTCTGATTTTTATGAAATTGAGTGCAGATAAAATGAGACTTACAGTAAAAAGGTCTTAGCATTCCCTCAATTACCTGTTTACTCCACTCACAAACTTCAACACTTAAAAACAAAAAATCAATATATGCCTAAGTTTTAAGAAAGTCTTTTTGTAAAAAAAAATTGTTATATATATTTTTGATCCATGGAAGTTCAATAATTAGTTCACTTCAGTGTCTGACTAGGCTCTCCCTAGAGGATTCCACGATATAATTGAGGGATGATTTATGAAAATTATGACAAATATTTAAAAAAAAAATAAGTTGATAGAAGGATGAGGTATGGTCTGAAGATGGGATAATAAAGTGATCCCGAAACATCGTGGAGATGGGGAAGGAATTGTTGGGAGAGTAAAGCTGTTACTTAATTTTTATTTATATACTTCAATAATTAGGTTTTTATCTCTTAGTATTCATGCAATTTCTAGCTATTTGCTTAGGTTTTTATCACTTTTCCAATTCTAGATCAAAATTACTTACCACAAAGTAGGTTACAGAGCCAATACGTTGTCTTCTGTCAGTACAGTGAGGTGAATAGTTCCCACTTGTTCTGGTTCGGAATCCTTGGACATCTTATGAAGAAGGACAGCATCCAGTGGAGTAGGAATGTGAGTAACTCCTGCTGGAAGTTCACACTCTCCAATCAGTGCATCCGGGAACAATGTATTATGGGTCCACACCTTAGTCACAAAGTTTTATCAAGTAATATTTTATCATTAATTCTTTCAATTGCAATTTAAAAAAAAAATAAAAGAAAAGGATTAAATGAACATATATAGTAATAAAAGCAAGATAATAAAAAATAATATCTAAAGGAACTAATTGTTTTTAAAAAATTGGAGGTTTATACCTTTAAAACTACAGGTTTATGAGGCTTTTTCCTATAGAAAATGTAGGACATGTTCCAAACAGGATTCCAATCATCTTTAGCTGCATCTGTTTTTGTTTTATTACCCTCAGATTGTATTGAGCAATAAGGGTTAATCTCTGAAAATTTATATTCATATTTAGCAAAAATTAAATATCTAAGAAAAAATCATTAATAAAAAAAGGAGTTATTTGTCATTAAAAATAATCACTAAGGCCCATGATTAGTATGCGAATATTTTTTTTTTTTGCTTAATGATTTCCAAAATAAGTCGATATCTCGATGAAACATATATCAGAAATTCATGTCACATACATTTTTTACAAAACTGATGGTAAATCTAAGATTCTTTTGACAAACCTCAGCTTGATCAAAATCTAATAAAAGTTTATTAAATATGGCAATTTTTACAGAAGTGGGGTGGGTAGGTATAGTCCGGTAGAAGGTTGATAACAAAACATTGTGAATAATCATGGTTTTATCAAAAGCAGAACTTTGCATAGTTAAGCTGCTTAAAAGCCATATTAAAATGGCTTTAACAAACACAAATTTTCCTTGCATTTGAAAAATCTGCTATGGTGCACGCATCACACAGCTTTCACTTACCACCATCTTCTGAGCAGATATTATAAGTATTTTCGTATAGCAGATATAAGTATTTTCAGACAAAGATGAAGTAAAGTAAAAATTATTGACGCTATATTTATTTATATTTCATTGTGGGTATTTTAATTTGTTACTCTTATAAATACAAATTTTAAGTTTTATATTGCTGTAATCTATACAATTAAATATTAAATAATACCAACAATAGGATTAATAAAAACCGTATATGCATATGTACATAATATTGTCGGAGCCTGAATTCTAAGCTCATATTACATATGGAATCTAATCTTTCAGGCAAGCTCGAATGAACTCGGCAGGCTCGTATTTCTTTGGTTCCTCCATTACAACTATTCTCCGATATGATCTCTTATTTCTCCTTTAATTAATAATCAAATTATTTCATATTTTATATTTAACTATTTTTTATATTAGAGATCAATTTGAAAAGGTTAATTATTTCAAATTAAAAAAAATTAAAGGTACTTTAGAGGAAGCTAATATTGAAAATTAGACATTTCAATCCTGCTGGAGAACATAAATGAAAATAAAACCTACATTATATTAAAAACTGCTTAGTATTACACTGATTAAATTTAATCAAAATTGTTACATCCGTTTTCGAGAAAATCGTTAAAATTTCTTAAAGTGATTATATGAAGTGTCATTTCTCAACTTTGCTATAAAGCAATTAATAATAACATTCAATAAAAAAAGTGACTTTAAAAAAAAATACAAAACTTAATTCCTGCTTTTCTGTTTGGAATCAGACCTTGGTTTATGAGGCTTTGTTATAGCTTTTAAGGTCTTTTATCAACTATTTAAATTCTCATTACTTACTCGACACCAGAGTTGGGCGTTAGCGCGCTAATTTTTAACTAGCTAACGTACCGCTAAAAAGCTAAAATTAGCGGCGCTAAATATTAAGCTAATTTAGCTTCCAGCTGTTTTAGCGCAGATAACTTTAGTGCTAAATTAGCTATTAGCGGAAACGAACCGCTAACTTTTAGCTTAAGCTAAATTATCTATTAACTTAACTAAAAGCTAACTTAACGCTAACACTAGAAGAAATTTTATTTATTTCATTTTATTAATTGATATTAGGATCGACTGTTCTGTAATCAGGGCGCTTTTTATGAAAATTGCCCCGGGCACCGACTTTTTGTAACTTTTCTGATTTAATCGATATATGGGTCGACTATTAGATATTAGGGGGTGTTTATTATAAAAATATTGTCAGATTTTAGATACGGTCCCCCCTCCCCCCGGGCACCGACTTATCGTAACTTTTCTGATTTTATCGATATATGGGTCGACTATTAGGTTTTGGGGGGGCGCTTTTTATGAAAATAATGTCGGATTTTAGGTGTGACCTCTTCCCCCCTCCTCCCTCCGGGCACTGACTTTTTGTAACTTTTCTGATTTAATCGATATCAGGGTCTACTCTTATGTTTTCGGAGGAGCTTTTTATAAAAACGATTTCGAATTTGAGATTGGGGTCCCCGGGCCTCGACTTTTTTTTACTTTTCCGATTAAATCGATATTAGGGTTGACTATTATGTTTTGGGGGGAGCTTTTTATGAAAATGATATCAAATTTGAGATTGGGCCCCCCGGGCCTCGACTTTTTTAAACTTTTTTGATTAAATCGATATCAGGGTCAACTCTTACGTTTTGGGGGGAGCTTTTTATGAAAATTATATCAAATTTGATATTGGGCTCCCCGGACCTCGACTTTTTAAAACTTTTTTGATTAAATCGATATCAGGGTCGACTATTATGTTTTGGAATTCGATTTTTATGAAAATATAGGAAATTTGAGATTGGGTCCCTCTCTCAAATTTCATATATTTTCATAAAAAGCGAATTCCAAAACCTAATAATCGGCCCTGATATCGATTAAATCAGAAAAGTTACAAAAAGTCGGTGCCCGGAGGGGGGGGAAGAGGTCACACCTAAAATCCGACATTATTTTCATAAAAAGCGCCCCCCAAAACCTAATGGTCGACCCATATATCGATAAAATCAGAAAAGTTATGATAAGTCGGTGACGAGGGGAGGGAGGAGGGGGTCACATCTAAAATCCGACATTATTTTCATAAAAAGCGCCCCCCAAAACCTACTAGTCGACTCTAAGACCAATGAAATCCGAAGAATTAGCTATTAGCTTTTAGTTGAAGATACAGATAAAGATAATTAGCGGTTAGCGGTAAGAAGAGCTAAAAGTTAACTTGCGCTAAAAGTTAGCGGCTTGGTCCCGATAATAGCTAATTTAGCTGTTATCTGTTATCTGTTAGCTATAGATAATTTTTGCCCAACACTGCTCGACACCCTATATATTATGCTTTGGCAGGTTTCAATAGATGAAGAACAGATTGAATAAATTTCTAAATAAGGGAGAAATTTTAAATTATATACCAACTTGTGAAAGATTTAGTAGTAATTTCAGCACTATCCACAATAATTACTGTCACCCATTGGAATTCAGGGAAAACACAGGAACATAAGTTGAAGCTTTTAGGTGAATCGAGTTTTAACTCTCTGAAACAACAAATAATATAAATTAATATGTTACTAAGCCAATATTTAACAATTTAATTCAGAAAAAATAAGAAATATCTCTTCTTATAATGAGTTAGTTGCAAATTATAGACTAATGTCATAAAATATAATATATTATTTAGCAAGTTCCTTATTCCTCTTTACTACTTAATAATTAATATAACAAATTCAGTTCTAATATTAATATTCTTTTGAAAAAATAACTTAAAAAATTGTACCTCAAAGGTAGGATACTGTGTATTATTATAACAGGCATACAAAAATACAAACTGCAAAGTATCAAAATGTATTCTTATATTTTTGTTGTCTAAAACTATTATCCTCAACATTTTATAATGCTCAACTTCTGAGAGGTAGATAAATTAAAAATTTTAGTTTAACAAAAACATGTGATACATGACTAACCGAATCTGGACTTGATCTTTTTTTGAAAACGCTCTCAATATAAATGACAATGTATCTCCTGAACGATAGGTTGTTGGTATGATGACATATCTTCCGGGGTAGACCCAACCCCGAAAAGTAACTTCCCTTTTCCTTCTATGGTCCTCTGCTATAACAATGGGTGTATGAGCCCAAATCTTATGTAATCTAGTTTTTCTATTTTCTTCCACCTAAAAGCATATGTAAGCTTTTTAGAAAAATAAATAAATCAATCAATACAAAAAGTAATGACAATGTTCAATGTTTCCGATTAGAAAACTCAATTTGATTGAAATTTAAATCTAAATATAAACAAAAAATATTATAGTGATTTTTGAACATGTAACATTACTTTTACACAATAATTATATAATAATTGGTCAAATTTAAGATTATAACATTGAATTCAAAGTTCTAAATGACATTGAATTTTCAGTTTATTCTCGATTGATAAAAAAAAGATTAAGCCATAGAATGTGACTACATAAGGAAATAGATCCCATATGCAGACTGAGTCATTTATCAAAATAATTTTTGGTTCAGTTAAAAGATACTAGTGTTCGCAAATTTTTTAAGAAAATAAGAAAGGGTAAAGATTATATTTTTATGATGTGTAAGTTATATTTGTATTTATTAAGTAAAATGAGGAAAGAGAGTAGGTAATAAATGGAGGAGTAACCAGGAGCTCTTAGATATACATAGAGAGCCCAATGTTGCACAAATCTTACGAACAAAAAGGCTATGTTCTGCAAGCCATGTGGTCTGTTTGAGGGCTAAGAGATGAAAAGTCAAATCTTTGATGGTCTGATGGTGTGGAAAAGAGGAACATTAGGATCAGAAACTGGATGGTGGCTGCAAGAGACTGACATTTGGTAGAAGCTAGATGAGGAGGGCAGGACTCGTTCCTGAGTTTTAACACCCACCCAACTAACATGTTTCATTTTTTCATTTTTTTTCATCAGACAAAATTAAATGAAAAATTGTTTAAAATTAAAAAAATTAAATTGAAGTAACAAAAGTATTTATTATATTATAGATCTAATTAAAAAAATATCTAAGGGATTCAAATATACCTAAATCAAACTAACATTTAATAAACTAAGTATTCTAAAAAAAATTATCATAAAAATGAAAAAAAAATAATTAAAGTGTTGATATACAAACAGATATTTATAACTGAAATGATATTAATAACAATTGGTAATAAATTTAAAATTAGAGATATACCTTAAAATCTCAAAATAATATTTGTTCATATTCTTTCTATCATTGTCATATTTTCAAATCAAAATATAACAAGATACCATCAATTTTTAGAAGGTAGGCATTAATATGTAGTTTATAGGTAGATAGTGGTTAGCATTTTATAGCATAGGCATAACGTAGCTTCTTATTCAATTGAAAATACAAGGAAAAATGGTATGTATTAACTAAATAAGGTATTAACTAAACTCTGCCACCATATGTATTTCTTTCCTTGTGATATAAATGAAAACCATTAATTTTAAACCTAATGTCTTCATTTATAAATATTTTAAACTAATATGTTTGACACAAGAGGAGTTGTTCATCATGATGAACAAACTTGTTTAAGTTTGTAAACATGACTAAGTCTTTGGAGTGTCAATATGACTATCAATAATATTATATACAACAGAATCTAATGTGTTATGATTCAAAACTAACATTACATTAATCTAGTACATAACATTACGTTAACATTAATCTATTATTAATAAAATATGCAAAGATTATTTAAAGCAACTATATTACATTATTCTAACCCTAATAACGTGAAAACCAATGAGAAGATTAATATGACCAAATGGGGTATCTCCTCCATCTGCATCTCGAAATTGAAGAAGCTGCAGCAATAATTCTAATTCCTTCGATATTGTCATTAAATACTGAAACAATAAATATGTCATTACAAATTATAATATGATAAAAATTGAATTAGAAAAACTAAATAAAGAGTGGTAACTCCAAACTTAAAAACTAAGCATTATATTATTACATCTAAATCTAAATGATCTTCTACTGACAGCTGCAAAAATCAGTTACTTAATTACAAGATCATTAAAAGTTCGATAAATTAAAAAACTTAATGATATTTATTGATAGATTAATTCCAAGATGCAAATACTTTCATTCAAAACATTATAACTAGCATGGAAAATTAGCAGATTTTTCTTCATCAAGATTGTTAGACAACCAAAATGGCTAATATGAGAATCATTGGAAAATAGGTCACCTGGGGATTCCTGAGAAAACTATCTTGCCTTGTATCACCACCACCAGACCTGTCAAACATTCCACTGGTAGAACCAGTCTCCCATCGACCACGCACAGAGGACCCCTTCCATTTTTGTCCAGGTAAAGCAAATGGATTCTCAGATACTAACCTTATAATTGTGCACTCACTGAACCCCCAAACAACATCATCCAGAGGCATCCTAAAAAGTAATTTTATGATTACCTAGGATGTTAATGGGGATAATAAATATATATATATATATAGATATTAAAAAACATATTATAATTTATTTTGTTCTCATCATTAATATCAATGAAGTTAATCTCAATCTTTTAGAGTTAAAATCCCAATTCTGTTTAGTTTAATATAATCCTTTATTTGAGTTATTTTATTTAATTTTCCAGATGTCAAATCTCATTTTTTAAAAGCATTTTTGGAATCTCTATATGAGATTTTTATACTTGTTTTTATCTAGTTTAAAACAATGAAGAAGACAAACTAGGTCAAAAGGGTAACACACATCAAATAGTAAATTTTTAGTGTTATATTTTTTTTTTTTATATTTATTGAAATTTATAGCTATACTAAATAAATACATCCCGTAAATATGCACAAATTAGAAATAATGACATGAACAGACTTGTTGAGATACTACCCAGTTGTAGCAATGCCTAAATAATTCTAGGTAAGAAGATCACAAGGCCATCTTCTTTTCAGATGCCTTGAAGGATTATCAGGAATTAAAAAAGTAGCAAGGCTGGAAACAAGTGGATTCGGATGGGACTAGAGTTTATCATATTTATATCTGGCTTAGACTAAATCAGCAACATAAGGAACATTAAGATCTTTATGAATGGTTTTATTTGTGACCAAATATGGGCATTAAGGATTTTACGAAGGATTTTGGATCGTAAGGATTGGGTACGGTAGGAATTCGATGGTTTGGCGGAATCCCAAAGCTCAACTCCGTAAGTCCATATAGGTCTTATTATAGTCATATAGATGAGTCTTTTGTAATTAATTTAAAGTTTAGAGTGTTTGTTGTTTCTTGTCGTTTCAGTCTAGTATGCGGGTTCCAGGTAAAACGTTTGTCCAAGTGGAATCCTAGGTAGCGGATTTGCTCAATAGGAATAAATGAAGTATTATTGAAGGATACTGTAGGACAAGAAGTCATAGGTTTACGACGGAGGATAAAGGTGATTTGATGGGATTTATTTTTATTCTCCAATTTTGACACCATTCTTCGAGGCTTGTGACATGTAATTGCCGGGTTTGGGATGCTATTAAATGGTCATTATTAACAGATAGCAAACATATATCATCAACATACCTGGTGATGACAGTATTGGGATGTCAGCTGTATAAACTGTGTTGAGGATGGGGATTGAGGATACTACCTTGAGGAACCCCTGCAGACTGAGCAAAGAAGGATGAACAAACATTATTATGATTGACTTTGAAGTATCTATCAGCAAGGTAGGAATAGATAATAAGGAAGTATGTAGGTGGTAGGAATTTACAGAGTTTGTACAGTAGTCCCGGGAGCCAGACTCTATTAAACGCCTCTTCAACATCGAGAAAGACTCCCATGCAGTACATTCCATGCTCCAATGCAGAGGAGACTACGTCTACCACATAATGACATTGCTGAATAGTGGAATGCGATGTGCAGAATCCAAATTGGTGATCAGGGATAATGTGATTAGAATCTAGGATGGAATACAGGCTTTTAGGATGAGTTTTCTAGGATTTTCCCATGATAAGTAATAGAGAGATAAGAGGGTAAGAAGATGGGTATATCGGTTTGTGTATCATTTTGACTGTAGATAGTTTGCAAGGATCAGCAAAATATGTGGATCGGAGCAAGGCATTATACATATATATATATATATATATATATATATATATGGAAGGAATAGGATGGCTTTCCAAGGAAGCAGTTTTAGGATCTGGGAAGTAATGAGGTCGTGTCCAGTAGCTTTGCGGGAAGGTGATTTGTTAATGATATTTGATATTTTTAAAGGATGAAATGTTTTAAGTGGAAGGGTCCTTTGGAGTGGAATATATAGCTCAGTTTCAATACATTCAAGGTGATTAGGGTTAAGGGTATCAGGATGTGGATTAAAAGTTTTAAAGAGGTGTTGACCGAATATTTGGGATTTTTCTTCGCCGGATTTGGACTAGCTTTGGGATTCACTTAGTAGTGGATGATTAAAGTCTTTAAGCTTTAGAAGCTTTTTTGTGGTTGTCCATAGAGATTTGTCAGTAGTTGTAAGATTTTCAGTTAGGTTAAGTAATTTTTGAGTTTTTAATTTCGTTTTTTAGTTTGTTAGTCAATTCATTGTAGTAAGTTATATCTGAAGGATATCTAGTCCTATGCCACTGTTGCTGATCTTGCTCTGCATTTTTCCCTTAATAAGATTCCAATATGTAATGGGAAGTTAATATGTCATGAGTTATTGATGGATGTGTTATCATTTACACTGATTGCTATTAATGTAATAACTTTTTCTATGGCTTTGTCATGGTCTCGTTTTGTCTTGTAAGTGGAATTTTTAAGTCTAGTTTATTTTCCAAATCATCATGATTCTTGTTCCCCAATTTTGGAGGTGAGGGTTTAGGACCGAGATTTGAATATGATAATAGCAGAAGTGGACTATGATCTGATGAAAGGTCATCCAGGGATTTAATTGTGGTCTGAGAAGAGCTGGTGGGAAGAGCACATACAGGAGCAGGTGGTAGATGGTGATAGGAAATTTCACAAATGTTGCAGTTGAGGATTAGGATTAGAGGTTTTTGGCTTGAAGTGGGAGGCCTGAGGTGCCTGACATTAAGATTGCTGCTTCTCCATGGTAGATTGGATCTAAGAATTTTTGGGATACTCTAGAGATCAAGAGATAGAGAGAGGTTCGCTGAGTTGCTTTGATGATTTTGGCAATTCTGGGAAAAGTTTTTGATTTTAAATTTCAGGAATCTGTGTAGTTTTTCTGGTCTGGTCTACAGCTTTTAATCATCAAGTTGTACAATCTCTGCTTTGGATGATTTTTTATAGAATTCGCAGCCTCTGTAGCGGGCAGGGTGTGTTTAATCACAAAGAACACATGTCGCAGGCTCTTGCCTTGGTTTCTGGCATGTGTTAGACGGGTGTGGGCCAGCACATTTCATGTATCTGGCTTGATGATGGTAGTATGTCTTGATGTGTCATTTAGTGCATTGCACTATTATGGGTTTTTGCCAAGGCTCCTCAAATAAGTATACCTGTCTTATTACTTCAAATATTTCAATATTATTTTTGGCTGGTTCCAGGTCAACATTATTCAAAAGAATAACGGGAGTTGATATTTATCTCTTGGATGTAGCACTAATGAAATATTTCTGACGTTATGACATATTTCTTCCAGGCATGTTTAGATTGCAGCTGTAGAAGTAGTTGGATGCAAACCTCTTAAGACAACTCTCTTTCTTCTTTGAGCTGGTAACAGTGGAAATCATAGTTTCTAGATATTAAATGATTAATGAGCTTTTTGTAATTTTCTTTAGAGTTTGTATTAATTTTAACATCATTAACTCTGGAGAAGCAACAAAAGTTTGGCTGACCTATCAAGTCTGAAATTTCTTGTCCGAAGGACATAAAATTATCTATATTTGTAATGAAAATAGATTCTGGTTCAGAGAATTATTTTGGCTCTGCAGTCCGATTCAATGTTTTGCTGGTTGTAACAGGGTTACTGCATGTTTTTGGTAATGTCAACTGCTTGCATTCAAGTTTTTTTTTTTTTTATTTTGCCAACTTTTTTTTTCTTATTTGTTGAGTTGCCAGCCCGACCGGAGGGCAGAGTTTTGGTGGCGTTTTTGTCATGTTCGTCTTTTCAAGTATTGTGAATCTGTTTTGCTCACTTCTGAAAATGGAGTCTCGTCCTCCGATTCTACACAAGACAAATTTTTATCAGGTTCAATGATAAAATTAATATGAAAAAAAAATATATATCTGCATATGATATAACTGAAAACTAAAATATAACTTCATGAGTTGAATTCTTAAAATCTAAAATAGTTACAGAAATTAAATAATACATTTTTAAAATACATATGAAAGAATCTCAGAAGAAGGAAAAAATAAAAAAAAAAAACAAAGAAAAGAAAAAAATTTTTTATAAACCTTGGGTTCAAACTGGATACTAACGGAAGGAACAATTATTTTTACGCATATAGTATATCCTTGGCCGTGAATATAACATAGATAAGGTAAGACCCGCAAGGGAAATTACGACCAATTGTGCTGTCTCTACTAAACTGATATCAGTTATAACTAGTAATTGTTAATAAAAGAGTTTCACCTCACTATTTCACTGTGAATGTGTTCAAATGTTTTCAAACTCACTGTTTACAAATTGAAGCAGCAGTATTTGGAGAAATAGGCAGGTGGCAAGATAGCTAATACAGAGCGATGCAAGCATAGACCTGTAGTCGTAGTCCATGACACTTTGTAGTTAATGTTGTATATAATTTACATATTTTTTAAATGACAGATTTTTAATAAGTATAAACAACCCAACATTAACGATAATCATTTAAATTTATCATAGCTACTCAATTTATATAAATATGATAATTACTAGCACAAAAGCATACCAAAATTCAGAAGAATCTCTGAAAGATAGTCCCAACCGCTGTCTTTCATTGTCATTAACTTTACTCCATTCTTTATTGCGAGAACGGAATCTTGACAATGTTTCAGTAGTAAAAGCATAAGAACCAGCTTCACTTACAGCACTGAAAAAAAAAATCAATATATTAATGCAAGCATAAATACAAACATAACATTATGCACACAAACATTTATTATATGCATTGTATGTTTGTTTTTACAATATAAACAAATATTTATATAAGCACTATGAATAAGTTTGTAAATGTGATCTGGTAGAAAAAATAAATGTTACTTTCACATGGACAACCTGTCTGGTGAACCAGGAGGTTTTTTCTCTTCACCTCTTGGATCTCTTAATCGGATCATAGCAAACTTCTCTCTTCCACTGAAAAAAAAAAAAAAGTAATATGATAAATCAAATGTAGCAGAAATAACAAAAAGTGTATAAATTGCTTTCATGTGACTTATTCGATAAATAATCCATAAATGCCTATAGTAAAAACTATAGCCCAGATTTTATGCAGTAAAAATAATAAAATGTGCAATAAATGAAGGTTAAAATGTGCAAATGTGTAACGAAAAATAAAACCTGCCATTCACTTAAGTTCTTCTATGGAAAAAGTTACATCTGTTCTCTATTTTTTTACATGAATTACTATTTTTGTAATCATGACATTGGTTAGAGCAGAAAAATCAAAGTAATACAAAAATTTTCAAAACCTACATAAAAGCAGAACATTTTTTTTTGTATCAAACTTTAAGTTATTCACCAAAAAATTAATCATTTTTTTACTTTGAAAGAATAACTATATTGTATTTTTGGAATGATAATTTTTCTTTTAAGTAGTTAAGCATTCACATTTAACTATAAGCTTAGATAAACTAAGTAACATAACAGGAAGAGATTGGAAATCGTGGGGGTTAACAGGCATTCTATGAACTAATGGTGAGAAAAAACAAACTTGAAAATATTTAAAGAATTTTCAAACCAAATGAAACTAATTTAGTATGTTACATACAAGCAAGTATTACTTCATGAAACTTTCTCATATAATTTTGTTTCAATGTTTACATTTTTAAAAATGTATGGAAGAAATTCAATTTTGTGCAGCAAAAATAAAAAAACCTGCAATTTAAACGAATTAGTTAAAAATGGGGAATTTCATCCAAAATAAAATCTACATAAAATTAATGAGGATGCATTAATTCATGAAAATAAAATATTCTAAATTGATTTCAAATTAGTGGAAAAATGGGTCCAAAAAGAATCCAGTCCCGAGTAATATCAATGCAGTTTCAAGCCTTATGTTATTTAATGACAGAAACTTATCTAGGAATAGTAATGGTGAAGAAATTATAGACTGTTGATTCTTATAACAGAAGTTAAATCTAGCCCTAAGGTTGGAGATTTCATTCATAGAAGTATACAAAAATAAATTATACTTATTTTCTTTGTGCCAACATTTCGGCCTAAGTTTCAGAATTGCTTGTTAAAAGATTCGCCCTAATCCCTTTGAACAAGCAATCCTGATGAAGACCTGAAACGATGGCACAAAGAAAATAAATATAATTTATTTTTGTGAACTTCCATGGCTGCAATTTCCAATCAACTTCTCTTATGCAAATAGTAATAATGGACTAACCAATGAGAACATCCACCTGACCTGGCTAGTTCTAACATAATATGCTATGTTATAGCATTTCACTAAGATTATTTTGTCTTCAGTAAAAAAATACTAGGTTACCAGAGTTTAGATAGTTATGCATTATACTTGCCGATATCGAAGTTCAACCTGTCTTTCAAGATGGAACTACAGTCCAGTCTCCCATAATAATTATTATTCATATTGAAACCTAATTTAAACCAATTTTCGAACATATAAGTAAGTTCACTAGTGAAGAAGGGAATTAAAAAACATGTTCATTGATAGAACCATATTTTTTATAAATCCCATATAAACAAATTTTTACACCATGGATGTAATACTTGTGCCGTTGAATTATGTTGTAAGAATGGTTGAGGATTAATATTCCAATGGGAATTTAAAACTTAAAACTTCAACATTAAATTTATTTTACCCAATTAAATTGAGTTTATTTTTTAAACATAAGAGTATTTATAAAAAAGTATATAAAGTTTATTTATTCTCTTCTTATTCATAAAATATTTTACTTACTAGTACATTATTTTTATGAATTGATTCAAAGAATGTTTACAATGATTGAATTTACGAAGGAAACATGCATAGTTTTGAAAGAAATAATTATAACTATTGAAAAATGAATTGTTTCTCAAATTTATTTCAAAACTCAATTAAAGGTGGAAGTGAATTTTTGAGTCTATTGTGTTTTTATGAAATATGTGGTCAAACAATTTAATTAATATAATTTTTTATTTATTTGTAAAACAAAAAGGGAGAAGCATGAAATCCTATCATTGTTTCCACTTCACAGTTTCAATGTTGGTGTTAAATCAAGCGAACAAGATCCAGAAGACCTATCCCCTCCAGTATTATGATAACCAGTCCACAACTGAAACCCAATGCTCCCACCACCCACCACAGGCCAAAGAACATAATCCAAGTAAAGTTGATCCCTGCTTATGCTCAATTTAAAAAAATGATTAGAAACCAGGAATACAAGACAAAAAAATTTTCTTCAATTTTTCATTTTACTGAACCAACAATGCGAACAACATATGACTAGTGACATATATGACAGATGAAATAACAACAGATTGGAAGATTGGAGAAACATGGATGTGCCTCAGGATGATTCTGAAAATGGAAAGAGAAAGGGAAAGACTGTTTCATTTACATTATTAGAAAATGATAAAAGGTAAAATATAACTTTAAAAAATTACTTTTTTTTTAACTGCTAAAATATTTCATACTATATTAAAAAATCTTTTAATCTAATGAATTTAAATCAGATAATTAAATACATAAATAACTATGTTGTAAGCTTATGTAATATGATTGCTTGACAAGAAACCTAAAATAAATTCATTAGGAAATCAAAATAAATTTATTTTGTAATAAAAGCCAGTCGAACAACTAAAACTATGTACTAATAATAAACAGATAATAAAGTGGATCTAAGGATTTAAACTTTGGATTTAATTAGTACAGTACATGTAATAAAGTGCTAAAATATTTAAGCAAATGTTTATTTTTTAAACAGTTTTGATTACCTCAAACCAAAATAAATTTAAAAGACAAAGGACTAAGCAATAAATTAAAGCTAAATTCTGACATGAATAAAGCTGAAACAAGAGGCAGGAAGGAAGTCCCGGAACTAATAAGAGGCGAAGGAATCTATTCATACTATCTCTGCAACAACACAATGGCCGCTAATTATACAGCCTCATCCCTAAATAATTTTCACTGATTTCTCATTTTATATGGTGAAATATAATCAAAATAATTTGTAATACTAAATAAGTAAATTAAAAAAAAGATTAATTTTTAATTATAATATTTATTGAAGTTAAAATAAAGTAAGTTTAAAGGGAAAATATGCGTAATAACCGTATTCAAATGTTTGTAAAAAATTATTACACAAATTAAAAAAAAAAAAAAGATTATATATATTGTACCATATTTAAAGAAAGTGATTAAATATATATAAATTTAAACTATATTTGTTTTTAACAAGCTGATTTTAATCTACAATAGATTTTACTTTATATTGTTTACTTACCATCTCACCTATGTTCGATTAGTTACAAAAAAATTAAAATCACTAAAATACTATATCATACTTTGACATTAGTTATTCATTTGTATTTATGAAAGTATCAATTATAAATAACATTTATAAAAAAATCTTTTATTTGAGAATAAAATATTTAATGCATCAACAAGATTAAAAGAATAAATAACTTATTATTCACTTACAATTAGTGTATCATAAATATTTACGATATGAATATATTAAATACATCATTCAAGTATTTTAAAAATTGATTATTGTACTGAGTATTAAATTATAAATGAATATTATATAAAAATAATAATTTTCTAACATTTCAATAAATTAGTTCATTATAAATATTGAGAAAAATAATCCAACTGTTAATTTATTTTTTTATACAAAATAAAAACAAGATTAAGCAATAAACTAACAATAAAAGCATAGAAAAATATTGTTAGTTAAAATAAGTATCTTTATTTTATTCATGCATATTTTGTTTAAACATTCATCAAGGAGTAAAAGTAAAGATTAATATTTAGGTTAGTTAAATAATTATATAAATTTAAATTTTCAAAAAATAATAAAATAAATAATGAACTAAATGGGAGACATGTTTGATAAAATATAAAAAAATACTATCCTTGTATATCTAAAATGATTTCTGATCCAAAAATAAAGATTTTTATTTTTTTCAGAGGGGGGAGATGGTTAAGTCACTCAAATATAATGGTTAAATTATATCTTCTTGAATTCAGAGAAGCTTTAATATTTATAAAGAGTTTTATGCTGATTAATTTAATCAGTGCTATAAAAAATAAAATAAATTTCAAAATGAAAAATAAATCCGTGAATGACAGATGAAGAAATTATTTTTAAAATTAGTATTAGTAACTAATAACTTTTTAATTAAAAACAATGTTCTGTTTCTAATTCTATTTGCATTTTAATATTTTATAATTATTCATTTGTTTTATTAAGTGCTTCGATTTATTCTGATAATGCATTACAGCTTTTAAACTTCATTTAACTTACTCCTGGTGTTTTTTTTTCTAAAGAGACTTTAAATACAATAATTTTTAAAATATTATTTATGAATAGTTCCTAGGGGGCAAATAGAAATAAAGACAAATATACTTACTTGAAAAGATTTTTTAGGTTTGTTTCTGCAAGATAAGTTTTTCTAATATCAGTAAGGTGGTAAGTATGACCTCTTATAAGCCCTAATTCGGATCGAGAACCCAATTCATTTCCATTGTCAGTCTAGAACAATAATTATAAAACAGTTCTAATTTTGATAATATATCAGTACAATTAATAATTTACAAAAACTAACAACTCAATAAAAATAAAAATTTTGTAATGATCTAAAATACTCTTTAGTTAAAATAAAATAAGGATCTTAATTAACATAGTATAATAACAAAGAAGTTTATTAAAAATGAAAAATAATAATAAATAAAATAAAATTATGAAAGTAAAAAATTAAATATTTTTTAATTCAACCTTATCAGGCTTCAGAGAAAAGCAAATATAGATAAGAAGGTAAAATCAGTGAGCATTATAGAGGACTCACCTGGCTTTTAGTAAATTTACCAAAACTATGTGACTTAAATAAATCCAATTTAAAATGCAGGATGTATATTATTTTTGTTTTTTTAAAACCGTTCAAATTATAACTTATAATTAATCTTGGTAGACCAGAAATAATCACAGTTGAGGTAAATAATTGTATTTTTAAAAATGTTGTTTACTGTTTTTAACTATTGCTATAACTATTACATCATGAAAGAGTAATGAATAAAAAATATCCCTGGTGTAATGGCAGATGTTGATACTTTTGATGACATGGATTATTTTCATGTTTTTGGCAAAGTACGTATTTAGTATTTTTAAAACAAAATTACTTGGCTATAGTTTTGAAAAACAAAACAAAAAACAACAACGTCAAAATCTGTCATGAAGCTACTGATATATTCTGTTCATGTTTTTGATTCTTAATGATTCATTATGTAAAGTACAGTTTTAAGTGAATTGTGAAGTTTGATGTATTTATTATCTGTTGGTAGTTTTGAACATAAAAAAATGCTTACCCTAACGAGTTTTGAGACTACATTTTGATTTTTTAGACTACTAACAGATAATAAATGCATTAAACTAACAGAATTATTTAGAACTTAATATCTGAAAAAAAAAATGTATTTAGGAGGTTCCATAATGTGGGTCAAAATGTGTCTACTAATTTTATTTTGAAAAGGCATGAGCAATCTTCTACGTATGATTCATCATCGTTTCTGTATAAATCCTACCTTTGAGTCATCGCATATCAACAAATAACTCTAGCGGAACTATGAATCATCTCAAATCAAAGTTAATATAATTAATGGAACAATTTGAAATTTTACATCATTCTCTTAAAACCTTTTAAATAAAAGCAAAATAATGTGTCAAATCAAAACTTTGAAACTGAAATTTATTTAAATTTTTTAATGAAAAGTTTTATGGGAATGACAGTACAGAAATAAAATTTAAACATAAAACTAAAAAAAATTGCTTTATTTTTCCTCCCATTTTGCTGCAGATCAAATTTAAAAAATAGAATTAGAAATTTGTTTTGAGGCCTATGATTTATTTGCTTTAGTTAAATTTTATAAGTAGTCCTTGAAAAATAAAATTTAATTCTGTACTTTTTAAATCACATTAGCACTTTATTTTATGTTATTATATAAATTTAGATGTTATTAGATATTCCTGAATAATTTTAAACTTAATTAGCTGAAAATAAAAAATGGTTCTAATATTTGTATGCCATTAGTGTGTATGCCTAGTGATACTATTTGAAATTAATAATTATTTCCATTTCCAATAGAATTCTAATTTTCAATATACAGGAGAAAAAATGTATGCAACATTAATTTTTATATGAAAATCGTCATCGTAAAAAATAAATAAATAAATATAAAGCAAAAGAGTAATCTGTAATTTGGGAGATCAACACATTGAAATCGCTTAGATCTGAGTAAATATCAATTTTGGAGTGACATTAATAAAATAAGAAAGAAATCAACAAAAATTCATAAATTAGTAACTAACCATAACCTTAATTATGTACGTAAACAAGGATCAAATACTCCAATAGAATTAATGCTAATGAGGCAATACAAATTTATTTCAGAAATTTATTTCATTACAGACTACAAGCTTTTATAAAAAGATAATTAGCTAATAAAATTAACCTATAGACATTGCTATTCCATTGATGTTATATTAAAAAAATTATATAAGGTAAACCAGACACTTTTGAACACCTCAGATAGTTCTTAATATAAATAATGAGCTTTATGTAAATGTTTCAAATTAAGAGAAAAAAAATTCCAAGTGAATCATAAAAATTAGCTGTGTTAAAAGATTTTCAAACTGTAAACTTATAAAAAGGTTAATAAGTAATAATTGAGAAGGTGGGTTGGGGTGTCAATAACTGATTTTGAAACTTTTTTTCCCCATTAAATTGCAAAATATCTTCCAGGAATATTTTTAATGTGAAAATTTGTATACATCTTAAAGTAGTTTAATTCAGATTAAATTGGATTGAAATGTTATTATTTGTCCATGAATTTATAATATAAATATTGCCTTAAGTGGGTCAAGTAAATATTCAAGTCAAACTGTCTTGTTTACCATATGGAACAATAAAGACAATAGCAGAGTATTTCTAAGATCTACCATAATTCTATGGCTATAATTTATAAAATATTTTCAACATTAAAGATAAATGTAAGAATACTGGTATACTAAAATAAAACAGCTATTGTAATATTAGTTTAAAAAGTTGTCAATAAAACAAATGCTAAAATCAAATCTTAGAATAAATTCAATAAATGTAAGATTTTTAATCATCAGATTAAATATTTAATTAATATTAAGTATATAAAAATTAAAGATTTTTTAATTTCATAATAAGTCTCCAGTTTGAATTTTATTTTGTAATTATTAAAATGTTTCTCACTTCAAGGTAATAGGTAATAGTGCAATGTTATATAATAAAATTAATGAAATTATTTTATTTTCCAGAATGAGGCCAACATTTTCAGTCCTAGATACAAAACCATCTCATATCCTGGATTTCCCTTTAACTGTTCAACAGCAACTATGGCTTCTCTTTTTGTTACCGACGATTTGGCTTATATTGCTGTTTATAGCTGATATTGCTACGGACATAGCAGTCGGAATAGAGCTGATAAATGAAGGCCATTATTTCGCTGGAATCTTAACTTTGCTATTTATTGTACTTCCATCTCTACTCAGCTATTTCTTTAGGCTATCCACACCTCCAGATACAAAAGAAGCGAAAGTTGCGTTCACATGGCTTTCAGTAGAAACAGCTGCATTTGTGTTGTTTCCCATTCGCCCACTTTATTGGTGAGTAAAATACAATTCTATACATCAAAGTATATATTCTAAGATTATGGGCATTTTTAAAATACACATTAAAGGAGCATAAACAAAAAAATAACATATAAAGTAGAAGCTTCAAACTAAACTGTATTTTGTCCAATATCTGTCATGTTTTTTATCAAAATGAATTTTATGAATAAAAAAAAAAATTTGATCTAGAGTTCGTTGGATAATGTAAAATATATGTATATCCATTAATATATGCAAAATATACAGATTACATATTGAATTCAACTGAGGAAAAAAAATCAGGAAAATTCAAATATTCATAAAAAATCCAACATTATCACAAACAATACTGGATTATGTATTTTTTCAGAGCATTGAAGATGGATTGATATGGTTTATCCAATATCAAAGTTTATGTTATGGTGCTAATTTCACTTGATGTGTTAATAATAAAATGATGTGCTTCCGAGTTAAAAATAACTTTAAATCAGGGTTTGAAACAGAAAACAAATTTATTGCTAAGAGATTTCGGTTTCATTGAAATTTTTATAGCAGATAATTTTTTAATACTTTTGGAACTAGAATTTTTTCCCTTGCAACTTTTCAAGTGAAGGTTTTATAGAAATTTTATTTTTAAAAGTTCTGCCTATTTCTCTAAAAAGTCTATATAAATAATGTTGAAAAAAAGTTGATCTAAAAAATAAAATTTTCTTAGAACTTTTATTTTGAAAACTTTTTTCCTAAAAAGTTTCACAGAAACTGTTAAAATGGAACTTTAAAAAAGTTCTGCAAAAGTTTCAATTCCTGCTTTAATATAAACACTTAATGCAAATTCAATTAAAAGAAACATTACTAATTTAAATACAATTCAAATATTTAATTTAAGACCAAGCTTAGAAAATATTTCATTTTTTATAAAATCTTTGTCTAGCAAAACAACCCATGGAGGGTCTTGGGTTCTGTAGCAGGTATATAATAGATATAGAATACTGTTTCTTGTGGAAGCAAGTGATTTGGCAGAGATCATGCTCAACAGCCAGGTTTTCTCCCTTAATTATTATTTAATTAATAGCATCCACTTTATAAAAATTTGTTATACTCAAAGACGGCCCCAATCCCAGGGATGATCCATTGTTTAAGTAACAGAATAAATAATTCCCTGCCATGGCCGGAATTGAACTCAGCACCTGGACCATAGGAGTACAGTGTCTCTTACTCATTAAGCTATCATGCTCCTCTTAAATTTATTTTACAACAAACAAAATTAAAAATAGAATAAATACTAAATAAATTCAAAAAGTTTTTATTAAAGCTATTTTGTCAAATATGGTTTAAGTTTTGCAGAAAGGTTATTTTGGTCTATAGAAGCCATTAGATTGGAGGACCCAGAGAGAGAAGAAGCACTAAGGGAATTTGAGGATACACGTGTATTTGTGATTGAAAATTACTTATTTACACAAGCATTTTTACAAGCAGGACCACAGGCTATTCTACAAATATCACTCCTAGTACTAGGAACTTCAAAGGACTCAAGTACAGGTAATTAACTGTAGTTGCAATTCACATAATTTTTTTTTATTTTTCAAATACAAAAATCCTATTTCAAACTCTATCACTGGAATTAAGTAAATAATTTCTTATAAAGATAATAGTTCAGGATACAATGTAAGCACCCATTCATTTCTGAACAATACAGTTTTCATTTTAATGGATGTCTCATCATCTGATCCGTAACTTTTCCACTTTTAGTCTCAGAGTTCCAACCATGTTACTTTGTTTAAACAGTGTTACCTATCATTTTCCATTTCTTCTTTTTCTACCATTCCTTTTTCCAACATACCTCACAAAAGTTCAGAATAATGCAGAACACAACCTTGAAATTATTTTCCTAACTAATTCAGAAACATTTAAATATGTCCATCAAGAAACAAAAAAAAGAAATGAATTAGATTTATTTTCCTTAAAAGATTTGAAAATATCAAAGAAAAGATTTGAGTACAATTTATTTGATAAACTAAAGCAATATAAACCGGCTTAAGGTAGATCAGTGTAAAAATGTCAATACCCTCTAATATTGCTTTTTGGACTCGGAGGGCTCTGAAACGTATAGATCAGTTGAAAACCGCATATCAGAAATTTGACCCGATCGCTATACTTTCTTTTCAAAAGTTTTATTATAAATTTTATCATAGAATATATACGTAGCGAGTTAGGCCCTAAAACATTTTTCTTTTCTTTATACCTTTTTTCCTGAATTTTTTCCATGTATGAAAATTGAAAGGACAATTATAAGAACATTATAGAAAAGTCTCATCGAAATCGTTAGAGCCATTTTCGTGCTACAATCTATAGAAAAACATGTTTTTCATTAATTGTACAGCAGCTATTGTGCATAGAGCACTCAATTTGGGTCACAGGCATCGGTAATCAAAAACCTACAAAGTAGAAAAAGAAGCAACAAAATTGGTTCACTAGTTCTCAAGAAAATCTTGGCACAGACAAGACAGACCAATGGCTAAAAACGTGTTTTTCAGACTCAGAGGGTTTGAAACGTATAGATCCGTGGAAAACCGCATGTTGGAAATTTCACCTGATTGCAATATTTTCCTTACCTAGTATAGGTAGAAAAGTAAAAAGAAACAAAAAGTAGAAAAAGGATTTGAATGGAAGTTTGCTTGACATAATTATCTACAATCATTAAGAATAACATATAAATTTTTTATTTTTGCATTTTTAAAATATTACGAAATTGCTTATGTATTCTAGTTCTAGTTTGTGTGACAGTGCATTAGAGATTTGAAAAAATTAATATTTTTACTGCAGCCACATCCTCAATGCAATACTAACATACATCATGAAGAGAATAAAACAACTTTACACATTATATGTCAGTGTAACAGGTTCGCTAAGATTAGAATTGAACTGTTTGAAATTAAGGCTTGATTGGTAGATTTGTGGTACCAACCAAACTAACATTTTAATACAAAACCGCATAACATGCCACATAGTAGCCTATTAAGGTCGCAGGGCATTAGGGCATCAAAAAAAAAGCATAAAGTAAAGTAATAGTATGGGAAAAAAGGCTTTTTCTAGTAAATATATTGAGTTATTCCTGAGCTGAGATCACTGGATGAATAAGCTATAATTTTGGTAAATAATAATTGTTAATTCAAAATTATTGAATTTATCAAATAATATTCTTAAGTAAATGAGGAATGTATTATTATAAATAAACATATAATTGTTTACTTTGATAACAAGAACTTCATATATATAGGTACAATGTTTGAACTCAATTTTATCAACGATAAAATTTTCTAGTTATGATAGTATTTGATATTATCCGATAATCTTCTTGTTTACACTGTTCACTAAGGACATAATTGGATAGTTCAATTATCATCATAATATAATTCATCGCTTATAATTAATTAAGTCAATGAAAATTATAAAAAATCATATTTTTTAATAATACTTTTTAGACAATTAATTTCAACTGGCTAAATCCACTTTTAAGACAATAACGTCAAAATGGGTAATAATATAATACTGTCAAAAGTGACTCAATGCGGTATTTTTAGTATCTCTTATACAATTTTTGAAACAAACTGAGATAGTTTTGAAACTAATCACCTCAATATAAGGTTTAAAAACAACACTAAATTGAAGATTGATTCTTATAATCATTTTTTATTTCATTATTTACAGAAGCTATTCAGGTGCTATGTTTGATGACATCTTTGGCATCTCTTGCCTGGATTGCTGCTTCTTATCAACGATATGAAACTCAAGTAAGAGGAGGAAGACAACAAGTGTGGTCATCAAATGACAGATCTTTGACAACTCTGCTAAATCTATCAGAACTTGATGTTAACTCTCAACAGCAGAGATCTACAGGGATAAAAATTATGGAGGAAGATAACCCAATAGGGAGTATTCTTTTATTTTCATTTTGGTACTTTTTTCTTTTTGGTCGAATCCTTTGTTTGGTAATAGCATTTAGTTTCTTTCCTTGGGCAGTCTTTGGAGTGTGTCTGGGACACTATATCTTTACTTTAGCTTATATCTTACCTACTCCACAGTTAAGTGCATTAATTCCGGTTAAACTAATTTTAGCATTTGTTTATATTTTTTGTTTGGTCGAAGTGAGAATACAGTTCAGAAAGTCTTACCTTTTCTACAGCTTATTCTTTTTCTTTACAATTATAGAGAATATTTCGCTAACAATACTTTGGATTTTTTGGGCGAAATGGACAGGTGGTTGGTATTATTATTGTTTGTACTCAATTGGGATTTCACATGGGATGGCAATATTATTCATAGTAATTTATTTGAAATTTTTTAAACCAAAAGTCAGAAGAATACAAGTGAACTAATTAATAATAGATATATACTGTATTTTAGACTAAATGTTATAAAAGACAAACATATTTTTATAAAGACATTCATTTTAGTTCCTATACTACCTAGTAACTGTAATTTCCACTGATTTATGTCTAAATTGTTAACTAGTCCTACATAACTTAACAATTGGGATTGATTAAAATGTCGGAAAAAGTGTACAGCTTGAGCGTGATATATTTTTTAAAACTAAACTATTAGATAGAGTAAACTCAGATGAAATAAACACATTTTTGGTATTTTAGATCCATTTCATCCCTTAACATTAGAGTTGGGTGTGAAATACTTAAAGACAATATTATCTATAATGTACTGTATATATGTAAATACAAGTGATATTGCCAGTAACTTAATCCATACAGCTGCTGTTAAATTAAACAGCTCAATTTAATATTTAAAAAGTCAACAATACTTTCATTCCTAGGATATAATGTTACCATCTCTTGATCTTATACCCTAAAATTAGAGGCAATTGAAAGTTAGTTGGCTTAATGTGTACATATTTTATAGAAGAGCTAACGAGAAGGGTATGGGCTACCTATGCTCAACAAACCCAGTTTAAAAACAGCCTACGGCAACTAAATTTTGTAATCTCTGTCAATCTGAATACTGCTTCCTGGATGCTTAAAGATTAGTGTTCTACAAACGAGTACCTGATATTAACCAGGATATAAAACCACATGATAGGAGTACAGCACTGAAAAAAACTCTCACAAGAATACTATAAAGTTGAGAAACAGACACCAGTGCCTACTCCCTGGATGCAAGTGTAGTGGGACAACACTATTTTATAGAAAATGTATCAGTCCTCATTAATGATAGTAATAGTAAAAACTTTGGATCGATTATACATATGATTAGATCCAGAGACAATTATACACCCCGTAAAATGAAAAAAATTATATGACAGATTGTTAAATGATAATCGAAAATTTATAATTGAAAAATGATAATCTTATAATACGCATATACAATACTGAACATTGATCCAATGGGATTGTAAAAAAAAAATAAATAAATAAATTTTAAAAAAAGTATTGTATGCTCATACACATTGTTTTTTTTTACTTTTCTGTTAGATATACTTATACTTATGAAAATTAGAAAATAAATTAATGAAAAATATTTGTGTTTTATTATCACAATACCTCGTTTCAGTTTACAAAGATGGAAACTCCAAGTAGACTAAGGCTAACATATTTTTAAAATACACAATAAAATATTCCTTATCCAACATTTTTTTTGCAATGTGAGTATTACATTCACATTTAAAACAGGACTTCTAAGAGTAGTCTACAGGTCTTCAATAACTAACTTAAAAATAAGGATGTTCCTTTATTACTAATTTTGTTACGCAGTAAGTAATTTTAATTGTTGATTACAATAATTTAGTTTTTTAATGAAGAAAATTAAATTTTTGATAACTATTATATTTAACAAAAGAAATTATAACTTTAATACAATATAATACTGCCTTTTCGTGTTGTTCTGGGTCAGCTCACTTCGTAAAACAGAATCGTAATAGGCTTAAACTAAGTATATTGATGCCATGGTGGCTAATTGTGTTAAAGCTTTGCCTTATCAGCCTCAAATCAAAAGCAGTACTGATTCAAAGCACTGTGATTTATGAAGAGCATGTTCACTGAAGAGTTCAACAAGCATTTTATGGGATTCTGCAGCAGTTTTCTTTGAATAAACAAAAAACTGATGTCTACAGATCGCAGTTGGTAGGCACGAAATTTGGCACGTTCAACACTATTAAAATGATGCTGTTATAAACAATTTGAAAATCTTTGCCAGCTGTCAACGAAACAAAATGGCACTAATAATGTGTTTTAACAGAAACTACATTACCAACTACATCTATGGACGAATCCCAGTTTTATATATATTTTTTTTATTAAAATAAAAATGTTTCATATTTACACACCTGGTATGGTTTACATTAATTCAAAATATACAAAAAAGTAAATTAGTTCCTAACAAATGTGGGTAGCCCATCTGTATTTTGTATTTCAATTCCCCTCCCTTGCTTATAATGTGTTAGATTCAATACAGATAGATGTTTATAACAGTTTTCTATTTTAAAGTTATAAATTTGAAAACATGAGTTGTGAAATGTAAAATTAATCTAAAGTTAGTCAAAAAGTTTAAAGCTCTGAATCCTCAGAGCCTAAGGTAGTCGACAGCTTCAATCTATCAAGCTGTAAAAAATATTTGAAATAATATTAATAATTATAATAATGCCAAAAAAAAGAACCTTTACTTTACAGTAGCAATAAATAAATCACAGCTGTCAATTTTCATTCATTCAAGAAACAAAGGAAGGCTCTTGGGTTCTTATAGAAGTGTTGTCTTCATATTTAATAAAAGTTAAAAAAAATCTCGACAATTCCAACAAATGATATAACAGAGATCTTATTATACTAATGTGGGACCAAGAGAAACAGTTTGTATCTGAAAGCCATTATTAAACATTAAAACATCTATAGCAGAATGTTGTAGACGAGGGTTCTCCAAGCTGTGCCACATGGCATGCAAGCACCACCATTCCAGTCCACGAAAGTTTCTTTGATCACATATTAAAATTTTAAAAACTATTTTAAAAACATTAAATTTAGTAAATCAGTCAAACAGAAGATTACTAAATCATTTACTGCATGAATTGTTTCTCTTAGAAAGCTGATTTCAAAACTAAGATGGCCTCTGTAGAACAATTTTTTTTTTTTCATAACAAGCCATGGTTGGACTAACATAGTGGAGGTCTCAACGTGGCACCCAGGTAAAGAAGTTTGGAAACCTTTGTTATAGACCAACCAATTTTAAAGGGTTTCGGGTTACCAATATATTTTCATGGTTATATCAAAGGAGCACTATAAATATGGTAGTTAAAATCTAAAATTCATTGTAACCCTTAAGTTTATAATATTAATAAAAATAAGAGAGAGAAAAAAAACTCAGAGATAAAAATTGATTAATAAAAGAATTTATTGATGATACAAAAGAACTCACAGTGAGGGTGAAACATATTATACTGTGGTCATTTGATTCCTTAAGAAGGGTGTCAAAAAGTTGGCTTCTTTTGTCTTCGATCTCACTATAACGCTCAACACTGAAATCAATAACTTCCGATACTCCTCCAGTAAAATCCACAAGAGCATCAGCTAATTCTCGTTCTCTTAATGCTTCATAAGAACCATGCAATCTAATAATAAAAACAGAAATAAGTTGATATAAAATATAAAAATTTGATGTAAAATTTAAAATAAAAATTATAGTAATGACAAATTAATATTCTCTTCCTGCTACTAAAAGAAAAATTACAAACTAGTTTATTAGTGGTGCCTGTAATCTCGATAATCTGAATAAATAATGCTAAATGGTTTATTACAATATAATACAAGAGGAGATTTAATGCAGGTCATTCTTAAGAATTATTTTGTTCTAAAAATGGGGAAAAAACTCTAAAAGGTGAACAGAAAATGTAATAAGATTTAAATTAATAAAGAAAAATTAAAATAGACATCAAATTTATAAAAATAACACTACCTATAAATTAAAAAAAATAGAATGTTTTCCAAAATTCTTTTATCTTTTTGGCATATATTATTTTTTAATATATTTATTAAATTTTGTGCCAACATTTAGATAATATTTATTTTGGCAACGTGTACAGTTTATTTTATAGATTAGTCTTTTTTATTTTTATTTTCTATTTTATCTCTCATATTTCTTGAATGATTTTTTAGTTCATTATAGTTATTATAAAAACTAAATTTAATATTGTCATGATTGATTTTTTTTTTTTTTTGTATTATTAGTAATTCTTGATATGAATAATTTGTGAAATATACTACGTTTATGTTCATAGGCTTTTATTTCATTTCTACATTTACCTATTATTTCATTAATAGTTTAAAAATAATTGGTTTAACATTGAAATTTTAGATTGTTCAGATTTTAGGCTGTTGGAAATCTGAGGGGATCCTTATTTTATAAAATCTCTTTTAATAGGGAGGTGGTACATTACTATCTCTTACCAATAATCAAATTTAATTGAGAAATAAATTTTAGAAGATATAAAGTAAATCACCTTGTGGGAATTTTAACTACTGTGATCTTCTAAATCAAGAAAATTTAAATATTGGATCTAAACTATGAAGTTGAATTCTCCTTACTTCACATAAGCTTTTTCAATAAGAGCCATCCAGAATTCATTTTCCGTGCACGACTGAGTTGTAAGTAAACAATTGTTTACTGTAGGTAAAATGTCATCTATCACAACATCATTCCAAGTACCAAATCTCCATATCATGAAATGAAATATCCCACAATATTTTGTCCCCCATTCTTGCTCCCAATAATCAGGTATCACCTTTGAAAAAAAAAATAGCATTTTAAATGACATATAAATATAAACAAATAATTTTTGACAACAAAAGATTAAAATCATTACTTTGTTTCTGAGTTCACTGACACCTCCAAGTATTGCACAAGCTGAAACCATCCAATTACAGCTAAATTCTCCAGGCCTCACCAAGTGACACTGGCGTAGTGTATCATTAACAAACAATTTAGGGTCTTCGCAAATATCCTGAAGTTATTTTATAAAATTAAAATAAAGAGTTAATTTTGCTTTAAAATGAGAATAAAATCATTTGAAGCATACCCCTGGTCTTTTCCATACTACATTATCAGGAATATTTGATGTGCCAAGGATGGCATCAACAGCTGGAAATATTGGATCTGAAAAAAGTGTTCCTAATTCCAAATGATGTTTTTTCAACTCACTATAATCCTGATTTTTAAAATGAAAAACCTTCTTCACCATGGTTCAAGACTGTATACTTCCTACAGTAGGTTCTGATTCTGATGTCATGGGTGATTAATAATCTTGATCCATTTTGAGAGAACAGAGGATGAATTATGGGATAAGAGAATCAATATCAACAACACACTTTCACTGCCTCTTTTGTAATATAATATCTCAGACATGGACATTAGTTTTATGAGAAATACACAAATAATTATAAACAAATAAATTAATTTCTCCAAATTAGCTCGGAATATGAAACATATAGCATTATTTTAGACAGAGATAAGGAGAAATAAGACGAAAAAGAAATGAGTCAGCATTAGACTCAAAAAAGGAGGTCCCAAAGTAATATAAGAATAAAATCATTCTTAAATTAGAGAAGAAAGTGGGGACCCCACACAGCGGTGACCATGGCAACAGCCGAAAGGTCCCGACGTAAATATAACCTACCTAGATAGCTGTCAAACTGTGCTCAATTCTGTCATCATTCCAGAATAGAATCATGACTTGATTGTTTATCCTTTAATCAACTCGCGCAGAGTTATCCATTGATGAATATAAATTATAAATAAATATTAAAATAAACCTCGATTTGTTAATGATGCCAAGACAAAGTCCATTAACATTTGTTTTAGTTAATATAATTTAAAGAAGGTTTTCTTAACTACGAAAATGTTTGTTCAAGAAATCAAAGATTATTCTCGAGTTTTTTTTTGTTTTGTTTTTCAACTTCCTACAGTACCCAAGATAGTCTACTTATAAAAAAAAATTCCTTGTCTAATAAGCTTTAAGGTCATGTTAATAAAGCTGAGGTCTGTCAAAGAATAAGCCGAAAATCGATTCAAATTTTGTAACACTTTGGGTTGTAAAGTTCAATAAACTATTACAAAGCTTTGATTTAATTTTTGTTCGTCTTGACCTGGGTTATATTAGATAAATTATATCTACTTTTTTATCTCTCTATTATATAAAAATGTTTTAGTGACTGTCATATTTTATTTGGCAATCTCAATCGATTAAAATGCTGGGATTCTCTCTATAGGGGCCCTAACGTCAAAGGGGACTACGATGCATCAATCCTGTCGAGAAAATTTCAAGATTCTCTCTAGGATTAACGATAAAAGTTTTAAAATAAAATATAGATTTCATATCAGTTTGTCTCCAGTTGCCTGTTGAATCGCATTGATTTTGCTTTTGAGGTTTTTTTTTCTTGTAAAACATTATTTCATTTCTATCAAACATTTTTAAGAGTGTAAAATGATTTTGGGTTCCGCTCAGAGAGTAGTCGCTAAGATCAATGTGTTACGATATTAGTACAGACCTCCGTGCACGGACGTCGCGTGTGTTCTTGGTACGCGCGGCGAGATGTTCACAGCCGCCCCCTTCCCCTCTCCTGCTACATCCCAAATCGGTTAATAGACTATGACCCCATGTTAACTCCTGAAGAATTTTTCATCGAATCGAAAAACTTACTCTTAAAGAAAATAAAGAAGGTTAAATTGTGTGTCGAACGAGTACCTAAATTTAATATGTTGATTAAGTGATATGGTCGAAAACCATGTCAACGAAGCTGATTTTGGTCAAAAACTGGGATAAATTACTTTTAATGGCCCTGCAGCTAGAAAATAAGTTTCCTAAGAGAAAAAAACAACGCATTTTTAAAAATAAATTTTCGTTGTTTTTCCCTTTTATTTGTAGTCTTCTATAAGCAGAACATTTCACACTTTATTGAGGTAAACAATTGCAATTATTTTTCTGTTGGGAAAAATATTGAATGTCCTCTCCTCCAATCAACTGCTGGAGGAACCAATACCACGTTAATTCTCATTTCGTTGCATTTTAATTATTCTTCGAATGAATGCTGATTTTTCAAAAAATAAATATTTCAAAATTATATCCCAAAGAAACAGAGCACTTGTACTTTATAACAGATCTCAATCAAGAGAATTGATCCTTACGGTATGCATTATCCATATCTTTCAATCTAAATCTGGGTCCCATATACGGCCACTATTATTGAGTCAATATCGAAAATATTGACCGTTTGAGATTTTGTCAATTATATTGACATTTGTAGTACGTATACCACCTTCAAGAATATTGTTTCATTATTATTGATTCAATAATAATGACAGTGAAGATGGACTTAATGTTCATATCTTTTAAACCGTAAAAAGAGATGTATTTTCCAGACAGCCAAAAGATGTTATTCTTTAATGGTTTAACGAGATAGTGTTTGCAGCAATCAAAGTCTTGTCAAATCATCAGTGAGCGAGGAGTTCCATTAAAATACATTTCATATCAATTCTCGGTATATTTAGTGATATTATTAAATGTAATAATTTTTAGCCAATTTGTAAATTTCCTATTTTTTTTAAAAGATAATTTCATTTGCTATAAATAACATTAACAAACTATTAATATACAAGACCATACTCAAACCCATCTGGACCTACGGACTTGAACTGTGGGGTACAACTAAATTTTCGAACATCAAACGCATCCAATCCTTTCAGTCTAAAGTCCTCCGTATGATAGTCAATGCTCCTTATTACGTTACAAACAAAACCCTACATCATGATCTTTACATCCCTTATATCCTTGACGTTATTCCATCCCGATTCTCAAATTTTCACATGAACCTAATCCACCATCCTAACCCTTTAGCACAATCCTTATCTACCTCCAGTCATCCCTACAACTCTCCTCGAAGGTTGAAATGGCACTGGCCTCGAGATCTCTTGTAAAGACGTCACTGGAGTTCTGTCAATGGCCAGCTTCTCCACTCAAGTCATGAGTGTTTGTGGTTTTAGTGCCCTCTCTCAGTCTCCACCGGACTGGTAATGCCGGCGACGCGGTTGAGAGAGAAGCGCTGGGATCTCTTAGAGTCTCGCTTTGTCCTTCACACGTGGGGGAAAGGGCTGGACTCGGAGATCTCTTACCTAATTGTAAATAATGTATTTAAGTATGAATGTTTTTCTATTTATTTCTATTACTTATAATTTATTTAATTTCTTTACGAATTTCTGTATTTCATTTAATTTTAACTCTAAGTTACATTCCCTTGGTTTATTATAGTTTTTGCCTTTGTTATATAGATTTTTATATATTTTTTTTTTTTTTTTATGTGTTGTATATATGGTATGAATGTGCCTCACTCAGCCTTAGTACTCAGTGCCCTTAAGTGTGGCAAAATGTATTATTACTCAATAAACAGATACAAAAAAAAAAAAAAAATAAATAAAAAATAACATTAAATATTTTCTTTTAAATATGAAAAATAGAATTACTTTTGCTGAAAACAATGGTACTTTAAGCAGATAGAATTCCACAAGTTAGTTTTTATTTAAATTTGGAGCCGATGAACAGATTTGTTTTAGATTTTTTGATTCCACCCATAGGCTGGGCAGATAATGCAGCTCCTATCACAAATAAAAACCATAAATTTATAGTTTGAATTTCAGTGGTGATAATTATTATACTTATTCGTGCTAAATTGAGCTGTTTTTTAAATTTACAAATTCATTTAAATTTAAAGACACGATTTTAATCATACTTATCCACACATCGAAGAGATACCGCTGGATATTTTTCTTCCTCATGCCTAATATGCCATTATTATTGTATTAATGGTTTTATAGGCAATCCACTCATTGTCAATGTTGTATTAGACAGGTATAGATGAATAATTAAAGTTAAAAAAACGATATAGTTATGTGATACACACTTCGTACCAGATATTTACGTGTATAAGAAAATTTAGGCTGTAAATATTTCATAAATGCAATTTCACTAGACCTTAATTTAAAAAAAAAACATTCATTTTTATTTTTGAGCAATTTGGATTATATTATAAGCTAGTTATTAGCCTATTGAGCTTACATAGGATACAATTATTTTATTTTGGAACATAATTTTATAATTTTTTCTTAGGGTAGAAAATTATCATATTGTTGTCGCTAAGACAATAAGATTCCATAGTGATGATACGGCATTCAGAATAATCAGCTTTTGTATTAATAATTCTTTGCTACTGACTTATAATACATTTCCTAAGATTTCAAGTTCAGGAAAAAAATTGTAAGAAAAAGGTCCTATAGTTTTACATATCGTACAAATTTTTCATTTAAAAAAAGTGGGTATTACAATAAATAGGGAGAGGAAATTGTTCGCTTTATTCTGTACTTAACCACAAGATATGAAATGAAATGTAGTTTCAGAGACTGTAAGTTAGGATATCATCGACCCATTACTGAGAAGAATCTGAACTCTCTTCACTGCTTTGCCTACCGCCTTTGACGATTGGATAGCTCGCCTGAGTGGCGATACCACAGTTGTTGTTCTTGTTCCTTGCCATCTTGATGTAACCGTCCTCACCCCACTGCTCACTCCAGGAGTTCTTAACCAACCAGTACTTCTGACCCTTCTCTACGCCGTATCCGACGAGCAAGACACCATGATCCAGCTGAACACTGCTGCATTCAGGCTCGAAGTATACTCCTTCAGAGTAGAATTGGAAACTGGGGTTAGATGCGTCGATAGCTACAGAAAGTGGACCTTGAGTTGCGACGGCTTCCAATAAGACTTGTTCTTCACCGGTGGGGATGCTCACGAATCCAGCGTCAGTGGCTCCTACATTGTTTTTCTTGAACCTGCATTCACTATCCTAAAACATCAATAAGTCGGGTTAGAAGAGATGCTATTAAATATTATCTCATTACATTATCATGTAATATGTAGACGATGCTACATTACCATGTAGCATCATCCCTATACTCCAGAAAGAATCTACTTTTATTGAAGAATATATTTGAACATGCTAATTTTAAAAGCAACCGCCCCGAATCGAGAAATTACTTATGTGTTAGCTAGCCTGTTTATTGAGGAGGGTTTAGGCATCATAACATTAAGCTATGGCCAATAGGAACGGGATAGCAAATAAAGTAAATTAATCTGTAAAACTGTAGGCTGAAACCTAATAATAAAATTGCTTCCTTCAGAAATTCACAACTCCATAAAAATATGCCCCTCTTAAATATTTTGATGACGCAAGTTAGTACCACTCTTCTTAGCACCTCTATCATACGAAGATATTTTTAAAAAATGTATCATAAATGGTGGAATTGATAAATGATACAGCCAATTCACATAGTTAGCTATTACTGAAGACAAAAAATGACTCAATAATAGGATAAGTAGTTTGATAATAATATTAAATATCTCAGTAAATGACTAATTAATAATAGCTAAAAGAATGACGAACAGGTATTCCAACACCCATTACTGTCCATCACAAATGATTTCAGAGGAGAGAGAGGGACCCTTAGTAGTTGAACTCCCTCATTATTTCCCCAAAACTTTTTGTTTCTGAGGATGATCTCAGCCAAACACTTGAAGAAATACAATAGACTCTCTTTTTTATTATGATACATTCAATTAAATCGTTTCCTATAGCTACTAGAGACGACACAGTAAAAACGTAATTTTTAATATTACAAAGAAGAAAGAAAAAAAACGAGGAGTAGCGTCTATCTCAATAGTTGTTTTAAAATTGCTCAAGCTACAAAATATAAACGTGTGTCGAGAAAAAATATAAACAATTCCTCCCTATAAACATTATTTTTCCAGTAAATACCGTTATTAAAAATACAAACCTAAAACTAAAAAACATCTTCAAAATTTTTAATATTTCAATTTCACTGGCTCAAAAATTTTAAAAATTGTAGTTTAGATCAGTGGGCTTTAAAATAAGCGCCCGGCTGCTGTCCAGGTATCTCTATACCCAATGTCACCTGCTTCTCCCTCAAAATAAAAAACTGAATCTAATGGATCCGCTAGTCGATTGAAAAATATACGATCTTCATAACCATTCTAAATTCAATAAATCAATATTTTACAAAAATTAATTACTGTTTATAAAAATACAATAGTTCACCTCTCCTTCGTATGGGTAGGTCTCTTCAGTATCGATTCCATCATTGTCCTTGACGTATTGGAAGGCTTGTTCCATGAGACCTCCCTCACAGCCGTTGTTGCCATAGTTCAATGAGCAATCGATCAGGTTCTGTTCACTGAGGGATACCCGCCTTCCTGTCTTCAGGAAGGTGTGTGCCTCCAATGCTCCGGTCTGCAAGAACGAGTCGTAATAAGTATGTTACATAAAATAATACAGGAATTTTGATTTCTAGATACGAAACATGGAATTTTCTCTAACGTTGGCTATATTAAGGAATAAACAAACTTACCGAACTGAAGGCCCAACATGAACCACAATGTCCTTGGTCCTTGACTGGGGAGACGGCTCCCTTCTGCCTCCAGTCAAATTCCTGCGGGATGACGGCGTCTTTGCTGCGACGGAAAGGGATGCCTTCCGGGACTTTGTTGGTGGCTCTTAGGGATCTGTTGAACCCAAGGAACGTTGCCATGAACTCTCTCGGGTGCTGAAATATTTTGTTAAAAACACGTTGACTCCTTAATGTATTACATTAAAAGATTTATTTTGAAGTGATTAACGGAACAAGTTATTTATGATAGTAGTCAATCAATACTTAGTCAATCAATACTTACCATGTCTGCCAAATGGTTGAGAGCCATCTTGTATGTAACTTCTCCTCTCTCGTAGCGTGCATTGTGTTCGTTCACGAACTTCTCATTCTGTTTGTAAACCTTCTTTCTGTAGCGTTCGACGGAATCGCTTGGGTAATCCTTCCTGTACTGCGACTATAAAGGATAAACGAATTCCAGTAAAGCAGAAGAAACAAAAAGAATTCCATAATATTGTATTTTATTTACAGATTATATTAAACTAAATTGAATAAAATCATTTTATAATTTTTTCTGCTACTTTTTTTGCATACACGCAACCGATTGTTCAAGATGTATGTTGCCCATGAATAGGTTTAACTCCAAAAAAAATAATAGACACATTTATAAGATGACAAAGAGAACATCACAAAAGAAAGAGAAGGACCTAATAATAGTAAATATAATTCTGATGACCCGGAAAAGATTTCCAAAAACGTTAAAGAAATTTTGATGAAATGTAATAAATAAATAAATATACAATAGACAAAAAAGGAAGTTATAGTTGCCAACTTCAACCGTAAATAATTTATTGATATGTTATAAAATCTTTTTAAAAATGTGTACTAACTTTGCTTGTCGTAGTCTTGTGAGCGGCGATAGGTGTTTGGAAAGTGGTCTAGAATCAATGTAGGACACATCCATTCATATGTAAAATAGATTACGGCTTGGTTAAAAGAAAAAAAAAAAAGATTTGCCTCTGGAGAGAATCCAAAACTATAACGGGAAGAAACCAAAACAGCGTATGGTTTTGTATGAGCCAGATGGATGATATGGGGCCAGAGAAAATTCTCAAGATTGGCCAGCGATTTTGGGTTCGAAGAAGAAATGGCATGTTTCAGTATTCGGTTATTATATCTATACAGCGGAGAGGAGACATCAGTATTTGGGCTGTGTCAGTTAAATGGGAGGAGAATACTGGAATTGTTTTAGGAAAAACTCTTTCTGCAGACAAGATTTTTCTTCGGAACCCGTTAGAGTCAATGAATTGACTCTCAATTCTCAGGACTCAAGAGTTCTATCTCAAGAGGAGTCTCATGTATAAACCATTCAACGTTCTACCCTGAAAATCGAAGAAAGATAATTTCAGTCAAACATGCCCAATCTGCCAATCATCATTTAAAAATAACCGTGGGCTTACAATCCACACATCCAAGAGACACACAGTAGAAGCAAATAGGATCACACTTATGCCAATTGAGAGGAACAATAGAAATGAAAGCTGTAAACAGCCATCAGAGAGCGTGGTTGAGCTGGAAGTTATGATGTGGGAGACCATATTTAAAGATCTAGTCAAAGCTCTTTTGTATTCAGGCAACTTCGATACAATTATTCATGAGTTTCTTATTTTTCTTAGAGAGATGAAATGAAAAACTTCGTGGTCCGAAATACCCAGCTGTACGCTTTTATCAGATGCGCAAAAGAAAAAAAAACATGAAATGAAGAGAAAAGAAATAGAAAGTCTGTTGTGTCACAATAGCATTAGAATCAACCAAGGGGTTAACGGAACTGGCTTATCAGTGTTTTCAGAGGAGTACCACAGGGTGGACCACTTTTACCGATACTATTCAATTTGAGTATTGATTCATTATATACAGAGCTCTGCGAACCGCGAGTTGCGGTAGAATACCGATATAAATTAGATCATAACCACGACCCTGTTCTAGTTACGTGTTTCGCAGATGAAGTAGTTAATTTGACTCTCCTTGAGCCGGATCAGAAGATTATTATAATAAACGGATGCATTCCCTTCTTTGATATATCCACTGGAAACTGCGCAATTGGCGAAATTGTCCTCATCACTACTAGAATCTACAGACGTCATATTATGAGGAAGTTTGAAGGCCATGGTAGGTTTACCAGCCAACACGTGCTCTGCTATGACCTCCGCGGCGATTCGGGGGCTTGGGTCTTTTGCGGTGTGAGTGGGAGGTTCCCCTTCAGCATAGGTCTGTTTCTAAAAATTTGACCAATATACCCGATGCCCTGTTTCAGACGGTTTTTTTATTTCGAGGACGAAGTTCGACAGTGTGCTGACCGTTAGGTTTCGAAGCTAATAATATAGAAGCGTCCATATCAGTTAAAAAGGTTAGAAATGGTATAGCAGCCTCTGAGAGAAAAATCATTTGAAGATTGGAGCAAGTGTAAGTGGCAGGAAATATGTGTGCCACATTTTAAATAAAACCAATGGGCTATCAAATTTAGGTATGACAGGAAAATTCTTACAGCCTCAGAGTGGAAAAATTCTTTGAAACTCAATGACAACTATGCTCCTTTTCGAGGAGTTCCAGGGACCGGAGGCCAGATGAATGGAGATGCTGGATCCCTCTGCTGCAAATGTGGCCTAGAGCCAGAAACCCCAGCTCATGTGTCCAAATAACAGGTTCCTTGTCACCCGCCGGTACAATAATATAAACTATCGAATAACCAAACACCAGGAGACGAAAAATTATAAATGCTTCATCGAAGTGTATTGTCTGGGTACGGAAGGCTCAGTGAAAAAGGAAAGGAGGATCTTATAGTCGATCCTACAATTAGCTATGAGACGAACGATGAACAGCAAGATCTCAAAATACAAATTGAGGAATGTATAAAAAATGCATTCCGTACCTGAAAGAGAAATATAGAGAGGAATTTGGGGAAAGAACTTTTTCGGTGCGAGTACTTTGCTTTGGAAATACAGCGGCAATACCTCTTTCAACTACTAGTTTTTTTTGGAAAAGCTAGGGGTTGAACTAGGCGTTGAAAAGAATGAGATACAGAGTATGGCGTAGTCCATTATTTTGAACTCACTGGGAATCCTAGACCACCACCTCTATTAAATCAGGGCAGTGCTTTATGGATCCAGGTGACAGAATTGAGAGAAAAGATAGGAAGAATAAATGACATAATATACGAAGTGTATCTAGCTGATTTTTTGGGTGTTGTCGACCAGATAGATTAGCAACTCACAGTTGAGCAGCATTACAATTATATTGTTATATATATATATATATATATATATATATATATATATATATATATATATATATATATATATATATATATAAATTATATTAATATATATATATATAAATATATTAATGTATATACATTAATACATATACATATGTATTCGATGAATACATATCTTTGAAAATTATTCAATATAATTTGATTGGTAAATATGCAAATGCTTCCAACGAGAATATACATTTGTCATTAAATTTATATATAAACGTTTAAAAGAAAGAAAACTGAAACACACTGTTTGTGGGTTTAATTTATCAACAAATACTTTTGAAAGTTAACACTGAAACAAATCTTTCAAAAACTCCATTTTTACTTGCTAACTTATTTAAAATATAAAATACGAATATGCTTTCCATTAAATCAGTTTAACTAATTCATTTATGCAGTTCATTGGCTAATTATATTACTTCACATTTATATTCACCTTCTTCATTCGGCTATAGAAAATATAACAAAACAGAAAACACATTAATACATTTTCTTAAATATTTGTAATAAAATACATTAATTACCTTATACCTGGCGAAATCGCTAGATGCCTCCGCGACGTACACCAAAGTCAAGCAAGCTGCTGCCAATAGGAAAAACTTCATGGCTGGGTCACCTATCGTAAATAATTTTTGTAGCTCATTTTTTAAGTGATTTTTTTTCCTTTAAATATTGGTTTATTCAACAGAGGTTTAAAGTCATGAAATAAAATATTTATAGTAACACAGCCGTCATAGATCGAAAGTTAATCAATTTAAGACATAGGCCTTGCGACAGAGAGGCACGTGCCCCATTAATTTGAGATAAATGAAAACTTTAATAGGAAAATTCGATGTAATTTATGCCTCTCCATTCCGTAAAAAAATATATAAGCACCCTAAAGGCAGCGGCAATACTCTCGTATTTCTCCGAGTTACTAACTATTGTTAGATTTCTACCTGTAGCAGTTTTGATTTCTGTTTATATTAAAAAGAGTTGATTTTATTGAGTTTAATAACTAAATAAAGTCTTTTAAAAAAAGATTTATTGTAGAAAAGTGCTATAAGTAATTTATTATAATTTGTGATATGAAAAGAAAATTATGTTTTGAATCTGAAGCTAGCAGGAAATTCTATCGTCTATTTTAATTTAATTTACCACTTTGTTTTTTAAAAAAAAGGATTAAATTCTTCAAAAATTCTTAAATTCTTTTATGAGTAACTTAGCAGTAATCACGAATTTGAATTAACACATACTAAAAACTCAGTCGAATATCTGAGTGTAAAACTTTCATATATTGAAAACCTACTATATTTTTTTATCAATATCTACTTTTTTTTTTAGAGGTACTTGGGATTTTCAGAAAAAAATATTCTTTACATCGCATAAAATTTCTATATATCAAATAAAAAGTCACATTAAAAAAATATAACGCAACTGTCGTCAAAAAGGAACTTTATTTTACCTAAATAAGAATGGAATAATGATTATATAAGAAAAAAAAGAACCTTTCAATGTTGAATCAAAGCAGGGAACAAAGAAATTAATTTCGGAAATGATCATGATCAACAAGAATTGGTATTAAGATCTACACGAGTAAGAAAATGTGAAGAAAAAGTTCAACGAAACGAAAAACGTAAAAAGCAGGATGAAAATGACCAAAATTATGAAGATGAGTCTAATATTCTAAAAAATTACGTTTGCCACTTATTTAATACTAAAAAAAAAATATTTTGATAGTTCCAAGTATAAGAAGGATAATAAAATATCGCAATATTTTTATATAACGAATTTTTTTCAAGAAACATTTGAGTTCAATATATAGAGGTTAGATTTAATATATATATATATATATATATATATATATATATATATATATATATATATATATATATAAATTAATATTTAGACTTAAAAGACACTGAACCTCTAGGGACGGAGAACAAAAAAAAAAAAACTTATTTAACAAATGTATAAAATATTAAACGATTCAGTCATTTCTATCCGTTACATAATAGCTAAAGAAATAGAAAATATAGACTTAACAAAAACTATCGATAGATGCTCACCTCAGGTACAGATCAGAGCACATTATGCATTGATGAGGTATATATATATGCGGTTATGTATGTTGAAAACTAGTGGGGGTATGCTGATTCGGAAAAACTTTGAAATCTTTCGATTATTAATTATCCAGTCAGCAGTGCTGTCAGCAGGATTCACATATCGATTGTATTTTTTGTTCCCTTGTTGCAGTCAGCTTTTAGATAGGCAATATTTTATCACTTATTTTTCATGTTTACTTATTTAGGGAGAAGATATGTTAATTAAATATACTCACATCATTAGTAAAGTTGTTCGGCCTTCGATAACGAAATTTAGGAATCGTGGTTTTTTATTAGTACAATTTATAAATTTGATTCATGAGATGTAATGAAATAAAGAAAAGATAAATTATTATAATTATGAAATACAGCTAATGGTTTGTGAATACATTGAATAAGCAGTATTTTTACCTTCTGAATACCGAATTTTGTATCCAAACAGGAATTGACAAATAAATTTGTTTTCCGTTACCAGGCGGATGAAACATCCCTAATTCGCGAAAAATCACCCTTTTCATTCTCACATTTGACATTCTTCGGGACTGGTCGGAATATAGAAGAAACCCGAGGAGCTGAATAAATAATATTGTTTCTCACAGGTGTTATGAATTTTATTTTATATGCAGACCTTTCGAAAAATTCGATAGATGATCAGCACCTAAGAATATATTGCTTCAAAAGAAGCGAAGATCTTAGAGTTAAAACTGGAATGATTTTTTTTTTTTTTAAAGTGAAGAGCAATATTTTTTTTCATCCTAAAAAGATTTCTCAGAAAATAGACCTCTACAACATTGGAAAACCCGAAGAGTGTTGAAGTTCGCATTTCATACTTTAGATAGAGCAGCACTCGCCCTAAGGTTTTTTTTTTCTCTTTATTTTTTAATTCACAACTGTTAATGTATACAGACAACCAGTGAATGAGATAACTGTATACAAATAGACTAGGAGAAAGAGCATGATAGGCATGAGGAAGAGAAAAACCCAGTGGCTAATCTTCGGTCATGTTAAAAGTTAATTAAGTAGATCTCTCATCCAACTCCTTTTCAGCCTTCTGCGAATATTATTGAGCATTTTTTTATTGGACATGTCCTGGATGAGTCTATTGGAGTGACCATAAAGCTTGTTTTGAAACCTTTTGTAATAAGTTTATATATGTTCTGTGACGGTTTGCATTTGTAAGTCTTTGTGGAGAGTTATGTTACTAACGTACCAAAGTGCTTGAGTAATTGTTCTGAAGGTTTTGGACTGAAATATTTGTAATTTCTGAATGTGAGTTTTTTTTTTAGCAATTCCATATATTTGTGACGCGTATGTCCAAAGTGGTTTTAGTAAGTAAGTGTAAGTGTTACGTTTTTGTCTTAGATTTAGTTTTGAGCTACGTCCCAGTAGGGAATATAATAGTCTAAATCGTTGATTTGGTGTCTTTCGCTTAGAGGTGATGTGTGGGCCCCAGGTCATCCTTCTGTCAAATGTTAGACCTAGATAATGTACTTCGTCAGATTGGGGGATATGTTCATTGCCAAGATAGACAGGAGAGCAGTTTTCGCCTCGGAGTGAATATGTTATGTGTTGGGATTTATTGTGATTTAGTTTTATGTTCCAAAGTTTGTACCAGTCGTGTAAGATTTGCAAGTGATTTTGTAAAGTATATGAAGCATGTGTGGAGCATTGTGTCTTGTGATAATAGTAGTGTCATCAGCATAGGTGGCTATCAATGTGTCACCGGAGAGGGGTATGCCATTTTTGTAAATTATGTAAAGCAGTGGTGCAAGAATTGATCCCTGGGGCACTCCGGTCAAAATTGGTCTGATAGTTGAGATTTCAGTGGCTTGTCGAGCAGAGAAAAATCTATCAGAGAGGAATGATTGTAATATGAGATAATATGTGGGAGGAAGTATTTTCTTGAGTTTATAAAGAAGTCCCTGGTGCCAGACTCTGTCAAATGCCTCAGCAACATCCAGAAATACGCCAGTAGCATACATTTTTTGCTCTAGTGCTGTTGCTATGTAATCTGTGACTCTGTGTAGTTGTTGAGTGGTAGAATATAATGATCGAAATCCAAATTGATGATCGGGTAAAATTTTTTGATGTGTTAATAATGTGTGGAGTCTCTTATATAGTATTTTTTCGAATATTTTGGCACATGTAGGAAGTAGAGTGATATGTATATAAGCTGAAGGAGAAGACATTTCTTTACCTGGCTTATGAATCATGGATATGTATGAATACTTCCATTGAATAAGAAATTTGGCAGTCCTCAGTATAGCATTAAAGATGGTAGTTAGAAACACCAGAGCTTTCCTGGGTATTTGTTGGAGCACTTCAGCATTTATTAAGTCATAACCGGGGGTTTTCTTTCTTTGTAACATTTCAATTTGTTTTGTAACCTGAGATGGGCAAAAGGAAACGGTAGGAGGGGTTAATTGTAATGGAGTGTCCAAGGAGTTGAGTACAAAGTTATTATGTTCAGTGTTTGACTGATTAATATGTGGAGTGAAAACTAATGAGAGGTGGTTTGCAAAAAGTTCTGATTTTTCTAAGTCTGACTCAGCCCAGGAGCCATCATCTTTACGAAGTGGTGCTGACACCTCTCGGTGTTTGAGCAACTTTTTTGTGTGTCTCCACAAGCTTCCATCATCTGTTGAAAGATTGTTGATGCATATGTCATAATTTTTTCGGTTGAATTTTTGTATTTGTCGTTTTAATTGGTTGTTTAGTCTGTTGAATGCCTGTCTATATGATAGGAGTCTGTTCCTCTGCCAAACTTTTCGAGCTCTTCTCTTGGCTCTGATCAAGTTCCTTATGTATTGTGGATAGTTTGGTAGATTTCCAGTAGTTCGAGGTTTGGGTACTAAAGATGTCTAAGCTGCTTCCTGAATGCTTTTTGTGAAAATGTCTGCAGCTTCCTCCAGTTCTTCTTGTGTTTTGATAGATACTGGAATGGAAAGAGCAGTGTCCAATTTATTCCTGTAGTTATCCTAATCCATTGTTTCGTTGATAAGAGATGGTTTTCTTATTGTCTTACATGGTTCATCCAGCAGCAACAGATTCACAAGGGAATGATCAGAGCAAAGGTCGGAGCTAGCATTGACGGAATGTGGTATAGTTTTCAGTCTTTTGATGATAAAGAAGTCCAAAAGATCAAATGTTTTATGTCTAGAAGTGGGCCAGTAACTTGGAGAGTTTATTGTGTCCAGAGAAAGCTCGTGGAGGGCAGTCCTAAGATTCCTTCCCCTTGGATTACAGAGTCGAGACCCCCACAAATGGTGTTTTGCGTCGTAGTCTCCTCCGGCGATAGAACAGTTTCCTAGATATTTGAAGAAGCTATAAAACATGGCAGGTGTCAGAACATACCCAGGGGAACAATAAATTGAAGCGAAGGTAATAGCGTTGTGTTTAGTATACATTGTTATGCCTGTGACTTGGATATCAGGTGTTTTAAATTTCTTTATTGAGTATTATAACAATCTGTCTGTTGGACATTGGTTATAGTGAGGTAGGATGACATTCACACCATATGTACAAAAAAATAAA